TGACTGTAGGTAGGGCTGGGTGACTCAATACTGTATCGTAAGTATCAGTTGATATAAGCTTTTTGTATAAATAATATTCTGTTTCGTAAGCTAGATTATATCCAACAATACATATTGAGACCCATAAAACTGTGGAATATGAAGACGAATATTAGATTCAAGTTATGACTTTAAATAGTTTACTTTCATTTCACGGAATTGGTTGATTTCTAAGCCAAGCATAAACTATTTGCGTAACACAGCATATATTTTTCAAGATTGGTCCAATGTCATCTTCGTTTTCATTGTCTTATTGTAATACTTATTATTAAGAAATAGGATTTGTTCAAACTTTATGATTAGCAAAATATTTCAATATTTTTTGAAAATTTTAAAAGTTTTTTTGGTACTGTAATGGTCCAAAAAAAATACGCGAACTTTTTTTTCTCTCTAAAGCAAAAGTTTAGAAAAGCAAAAATGTGTATATAAACTATTTCTATCGAAATCTAAAATGTTATAAAGATTGAATCACAGAATCACAGAAAATTGGCAAAATTGTAACAAAGAAAACTCGCAATTTTCAGTTTTGGTCTAATTTTTAAGGAAAAGTTATTTGAATTCTTAGTTCCTTTCTTCTTAGTATATTCTAAAGTTAAAAAATATACGCTGTTCGGCTGAAACTTGAAGAACCATTGAAAAACAACTTTTCCTTTAAATTAGAACAGGACTGAAAATTGATTTTCTAAACTTTTGATTTTGAGAGAAAAAAAAAATTCGCGGATTTTTGTTTGACAATTGGAGTAACAAAAAAATAAAANAGATATGAGTGAAGAGCTTTATAAAATAATACCTTTTTAAGGAGATCTAAAAATGCACACATGGGTTCTGAACACACTATTGATGGAGAAAGGTGAAAAGTTGTATTATTTTTAATTTAACTCTTTCTTAAAATAAAACAAAACTGTTTTTAGTTTTCCATTGGAACTGCATTTGGTCTACAGGTCTCCTTGTTTCGATGAATTTTAATAAATTAAAGAGACGTCTGTAAGCGTAATATCCTGGCAGTGTATGATTCTCAAAGGTACCCTTATAAATCTTTGTCTGATCAAATAGTAATACGATATAATTTTGAAAATTATATTTTCAATTATGGTTTCTGTACAAAAGTGACCTGCGCATTTCTACTTCCGGAAAACATGTAGGATTTATCAAAATCTAACACTTTTAAACCAATAAAATCTATACTTCCACAATATTGATTAAATAAAAGTTTCAAGGGTACCGTTGTAAATCTGGCATTGTCAGCTTTTCATGGAGAGTCACATGACACCTACAGCCCTTTTTAGTGCAAACAGCAAAATGCTATAGCTTTAGATGTGTAACATTGTGAAAACACCATTTGCATAGCGAAAGTGTAATTATTATCATCATTACAGGAATGATTTATCATTCTGGGCTTTTTTGCATTGCAAATATTTATAATATAAATCGAATTTTTCTTTTCGAATGAAATTAAAAAAACGGCAAAGCTCATGGCGTTTTTTTTAAAGAAAGTAAATTAAAGGAATTCTCATGATGAATCAGTGGAGAAAGGCTTAATGCATGAAAATGGCTTGACTGTTCTTGCTTTTAAATTCCAGGTAAAAATAAGTATCTCTAAAGGGACTGTTCATTCCAAGGTATAATGCAAAGAAAGTTATTTTAGATGTGAACGCATTTTTTGTACTGCAGTGTACTGTTTTTGGCCGGAAAAGTAAACACAAGACGGATTCCACAGCCTGACGTGGAATCCATTTTCACAAAAATAATTAAATTTTCGGGTCATAGGAAACTATTATGTGAATTATCAAAATTATCAAAATTAAATGCTTTAATCCTAATCCTCCTCGGATACTAGACGAACACTGATGCATCTATTCTTGTTTACAAATTTCGCCCAGAGAGACATGCTTTTAATATGTACCTTGAGTATACACAACCGCAATTGACTTTCCTTGCATTAGTACCTTGGTTCAATCAGAGTCCGTGTTCTTGCATTTTTACAATGTTTATCTATAATGAACTGATCGTTAAAAATTCGATGTCTAAATTTAAAGGAAAGTATCCGCTAAGTTTAATTTAAGTGCATTTTAAAGAGGTTAAGGTTGGTTTCTAACGGCACCATTTTAACTTAGCAATGAGGAAGACATTTATCGCCGTTGTTCTATTTAACTCTAGAGATGGGCCTGTTCGGCTTTTCTTCAATCCATTCGTTCAATTTTTGATAACAACCAATTTTCAGTTGTTTAAAATAATTTGATTTCATTCAATTTCAGAATTATCATTTTTCATCCATCCTGATCGTTTTCTAACTGATTGATCGTTAAATTAAATCATTCGTTCAGTGTGATCATTCTTTCAATAAAATCGGTTGTTCAACAAAATTTTTCATTTATATAAAAACGACCTCCTTTTCAAAAGTTCGCTTAAAAGAACGTTTGTTTTTTCAAAATATCGTTGAAAAAAAATCGTTCGTAAAAAGTAAAAAAGGATAATTTCAAAAAACTTTGATCGAAAAGTTTGTTTGTAAAGTTTTTTACTCGACGAACGATTTTTTAAGTTCGTTCGTTTGTTCATTGATCATTAATTTTTCTGAAAGACCCCGCCGATTCCGAAAATTTTGTATGTTTTGTTGGTTCACAAAAACGATGCACATCTCTAGTTAAATCCTCATTCTTTAAACCACAAGTCCATTTTATCGATAAATTATCAATTAATTAATGAATTTTGCACAATCGATGGAGTAATCGTGAATCCAGCCTTCAGGTCTTTTTGAAATAAAGGGCCGCTTGTATTTGCTTTGACAATAACTTTAATTATCAGAGATCAGATAATCCAGGGATGTTTATTAATGCTATGGAAACCATCAAGCAAATTGCCAGGAAACATCTTAGGTAAAGGATCTGATTATTCTCCTTCTCTAACTTTTTTACATCTTTGCAACTAGCTTGATGTAGTAGATCTGCGATAATTCAAACCATAGTTAACGCAAGCTTAAAGGGAGTGACCGGCTATGTAAGGTACTTGAACTGAGTATGCATTGTTGTGGAAAACTTCTTTCGGATTCATTTGAGACATATTAAACTTTTTAAAGATCTGTAAATGCTGAGTTTGAGCGCAAATTTGACGTTCAAAACTCCTACTTAGGGGGTGGATTCGTTTTCAGAATAAGTTTTTTTTTAAATTATTAAATACCGACGACATAAAATGTAAAAAAAAGTTCTACAATAAACTACAGACGTCATGTATAGGAACATGTTGCGAAAATAAAAATTAATCTTATTATCGAAAATAAGTAATCTTGTTCAATTATTGGTTTCTATTTTCTCATTATTCTGGTTCCTTATTATTCACAAAGATGTTCGCAGATTTTCTAGAATTATTATTGAAATGACGACATTTGAAGAATTTGAATAAATCTGCGAAGAAATTCAAAGAAAAAAAGAAATTCAATATAATAATGAAAACGAAATAATCGATTTTATAAGAAGTTTTCCACAACACTGCATACTCAGTTCAACTACCTTACATAGCCGGTCACTCCCTTTAAACAGTAAACTATTTAAGCCTTATGGGTTGAAAAGATATAATGATTAGAAAATTAAAGTTGGAGGCAACACTTGATTTTGATATCCAATAAAATTTAAGAATGAACGCTTGATCTCTCAAATAAAGTTATCCCTGAAGGATTTGACCATCACGAGATATCTAAGAGTAATTGAACTATCACGTAGATCTGCTAAAATGGAGATTAAGTGTTGATTCAAAGATTGAAAGCACAAAAGTTCCAACTTCAGTTTAAGTCTTATAGACCTTTTTAAAAAAGATAAATTGATTTATTGCTTCAGTTGATTAGAATTTTATAGTTTGTAATAGTTTTGACATATATATTTTTCAGAGTCAATTAATGAAAAAATCAGTTACAGTATAAAATAAAATCCTTAACGATATTTCTGGTTATTACTGGCATAGTTTTGTTTGTTTCAGAAAGGCGCATTCCAAGTTTGACAAATATGATTTGGTAAATATTTCAAATTTGAATAATTTGCTAATGGTAAATAATACTGAAACTTAAGTGCATTTTAGTCATTCAAACTATCTTAATGGCTCAGGAGATGGTGCTTCTTTGGACAGGATTTTTTTTTCCAGTAATTACTTTCCTAGACTATACTTGACTGCAAATTTTGAACAGAAATATATTCAGGGGGCACAGAAACATTTTAGCATTTTTCAAATAGACAAACTTTTATTGTAGATAAACAAGATTTTTTTACGTTAAAAATGGGTGTAAACTTCGACATTATAAAATACAAATATATTGATGGCAATCATTAAAGAATTTTCTCTTGTAAGTTGTAATCTCTTATATTTCAATAAATTAAGAAGAACTTTTAAATTTACTGTCCTTAAGTTACAAAAGTTACAAAAAACTATGAACTCGTGCACATCCCATGTATTAGTATGAAAATAGCATAAAATATAACTTTGTTTTTTGAAGCTTATTATATCTAGAAATAACCACTGTATCAAGACAATACACAAACATTCATAAAGTTACCTAAAGTGATGTTCCGAATAATTTATTAATTGATTAAAAACTTTAAAGTCGTCTTAGTTTAGGTTTCAAGTTGCAACCTAATTTTGAATAATTTTCATGAAATAATAATCACAAAATGTGGTCTGCTTTGTTTGAGCATTTATATTTACTGGATTACGTTTAGTTTTATAAAATTTCATGCTTTTACATAATACATTTAAAAAAATTATAATAATGATTATTATAATTGTTGTTTAATGATAAATATTTAAATTAGAATACCAAATGAATGCCGCAAGCTGTTTCTAAGGTCACGGATGACTTTCCAAATCTCAAATCAATTTATTTTTGGTTTATTTATAAACAGTATAAACACTATTATTTTAAAGTTGAACTTGAAATTTCCCTGTTTCTCAAAGGTTCTCTTGAACTTTTACGAAAAAGAGACTTTTTGTTCACAAACCAAAACAATTTTGTTAAAAATGTTTTCTTTTTATATAAAAAGAAAGAATTTTAGTTTATTGCTTGATATTGAATATTTTTTCTTAAAGTTGTGAATTTAAATAAATGAAACAAAAATGTGAATTTATTATTCATAAACGTTTGATTTGCAACTTGTTAATTTTTTTTTAGCCTGAAAACACAATAGCTGAAATAAACCTTGTAAATTTCCTTCCTGCACTACTTGATGANACAATTGTTCCGGAATTTTCCGGAAAAAGGTTCCGGAAAACGTTGAAGACATCTTGAACTTATGTAAAAGATAAAATCAGTAAGTAATATCTACAGAATAATAGAATGTGCGCCTGGTGTAGCTGTAGTCATGTACAGCAATCCTTGAGTCTAATTGATGTTGTTACAAAGGAAATAGGTTAAATAGTAACTTGTGGAAGACGAGACCCAGCGGCCTCCTTACAGCAAAGCCAGGAACAAAGAAGAGAGCTGAAGAATTCTACGCTGCATTCTCTCAAGTTCTATTCATGTGATTCCGACCGATATCTATAGACTTACTTGTTATCTTAGAATTAAATATATCCTTCTGAAAGACTCCTTGCGTTATTTGGAGACCGACGCTACGTCCTCCATAAACTAATAAAATCACTTTTAAATTGGTCTGTATACAGTATAGTATATACTACGTAATTGCTGTGTCTAATGTTCATTGAACTATTTAGAGTCATAATTTAAGTCTAATAGTCGTCCTCCTATTCCAGAATTTTCTGGTTCTCACTCTATTTATATACTTTGCTTAGCTGAGTCCAGTCCAAAGTAAAAGGGCTGATGAGAGCCTCGATTGTAGGTGCAATGCCATAGAACAGGACAGTGGTTACAACCAAAACATATTTCACCTTTAAACACCTCATCAGAAATTCTTCAATGATTTGGATTTCAGGATTTTTGAAACCCAAAGGGGTTTAATTGCTCTAAAATCTCACTGCCATGGAATTCAGCTCCTTCTATAAGCTGGTTAACATTAAACACACAACCCATTAGTAAATGCGAACCCAAGGAGCAGGAATCAACTCCACAGAAACTATTTAGCACCTTCTGATGTCTGGACTTCAGGTAAGCAGGAAAGTTGGGAAAATCCTCTCTAGCTTCCAGTTCACAAGGTGTATATAGTGTGGTTACAAAGCCTGATGATACTTCAGTCACCTTCTCTCATGTATTAAGATCAGGATCTCTTCTCTGAGTACTCAGAGACTCACTGATACCAAGATTCCTGGTGCTATCTTCACCAGGATTGGGAACTTTAAATTGCAGGGCATGATTTCTGGATGACCAAGGTATCCAGATTGACAAATTTCAAAGAACTTCTGGAGCACCCCTGGTACATAACTTCAAAACTTCAACTCTGCCATTGGAGCCTCCACTCGTGTACACCGATATTCATAAGTTGCTGCGCCTGTGCGTCTTACCAAGACTCCGGGCTTCCTCAGGATTGGATGATGGTAATCAAAATTGTTATTTATCCCATCCAAGAATCTCACGACCCTATATTCATATCCAACTTCAAATCGCCTACCAACATCATACTGCAATGAGCCATGTAAGCCAATGTAGGCAAAAGATCCTTGCTTTCATGTGTGTCAACTGCACGGAAGCAATTGATGGTAATCAAAGTTGTTATTTATCCCATCCAAGAATCTCACGACCCTATATTCATATCCAACTTCAAATCGGCTACCAACATCATATTGCAATGAGCAATGTAAGCCAATGTAGGCAAAAGATCCTTGCTTTCATGTGGGTCAACTGCACTGAAGCAAATGAAAGGATTTAGACTGATATAACACTATTGAGTTTCGTAGCAAACATGCTAATCTCTGGGCAACCCATGGATTGAGATTGCAGAGAAGGTTCAGCTTCTTGTCAATCAGGATCTTCTTACCATTATAATCAACCTGAATTTGCCTGAGCAACTTGTAATGACACTGGCTGTTTCGTCAAAAGTGTTGGACACTCCTTCTATGAGACACGCCCCATTATTCAAAAGACAGTCAGATGCCAGGGACACACAAGGATTTCTTTCAGTAATTGTTCCGGAATTACAGATATCCAGAACCTTTTCCATAATGGAAATGGGAAAAATTTCTGGATCATTTCTGTTCGTAAACCGTAACCTGGAATTTTGGTAGACCCTTTAATTCACCTCGCAATATTTTTATACCATCTTTAGGTTCATAGAATACAGAATGCAATATAATTTATAAAAATTTAGCTTGCATTGCCAATTCTACTGTATCTAGGATTTCATGTTTTAATAACAACCACAGGCAAGACTTTTTTAAATACTTATCAAAATTTCCATCATATATTAAGAGAGTCTGCAGCAGCTCCAGTGGAGGGGACCCAATATTGACCCAATAAGGGGGGGTCCGAAATGTGGAAATGAGATCTGGCAGAGTCAATATTCCGGGCAAAGGAGGGTATTAATTTCCCAAGCAATCAGTCCTGGTCAACTAATGATCTCAAATAGGCGGTGGTTCATAGGCTTCCCACTTATCCTTGGTTCATAGATGATAATAAGAAGAAGCGTTTATTTCAATCCTGAAAATATATGTTATTAACAATGACTTTTCCAGGGTAGGAATATAATGTATGCGATAATTAGTTTTATTATTATGAAAATGAGCTTACTATTACTGGGTAAATTCAATATAAGCAGGTTATTGAACAGTGCTAAAGCAATGTTTTTCCTTCTGTAATAAATGATAATTGGTTGCAAAAAATGCATAAATCACGAGTTTAAAGGTTTTTTTTATTAAATTTGAAGCATGTGCAGTTGTTTACATATCTGTCGGAGGTGTAAAATGTTTGGTTTGGCCACCGGAGAAAGTTTAGGTCAAAGACAACTTTGCAACGGAGTAAGATCATTTTTTTTTTGGTTAACAAATACACTACTGCAAACTTCAATCTCTTAGTTATTTCTCTCCGTTTCTTTCAAGATTTAAAAGAAAAACTACGAAGCATTTTTTCATTGAAGTTAACTACAAAAAATAATCATGTTGGACGATAGTTTTAAAAAGAAAATTGCATGAACTTTTTTTTAGGAAACTTATGGTTACCTGGGGGTACAACATATAATATTCTTGCTTAGCAGAGTACACTAATAAAATATCTACTAGTTTGTACACTACATTATTACACTGAGATAAGATAATAGAAATCTATTAAAGGCTTGTAAATGCGATATTTTCCACAGCAGGGTCCATTGTGTACAACTGGAGTACTAATAAAAGACGTTAGTATTCAGCAGGTATTCAGGGATATTTAAAAAATACAAAATTTCTGTTCTACCGAGTTTCCCAATCAAAATCGGAGGCACATCGGTAAAGGGGAAGAGAATTATGATGGGTGCAGATAAACAAACAGAGAAAATTTCTTTAAGTATACTAGTTTTACAGCGCAATATATTAGGTGGATGTGAAGAGGCTGTAAACTGGATTGTTTTCAAGAATCCATTAGGACTTCACAGCTCACATTTGATGGCTTTTCAGGTTTATAGTAGCTTAAAACTTAAGCATGTAATTAAATGACGACTTTTAGTTCGACTTTACAAATGTGTATCATCATTACAGTTTTTGTATGAGTCCACTTAAAGCAGATAGTTGTATATGATTTCAATTCTTTAAATAAAATTAAAATTGTCCTAATTAAGTTCTTTTTCAAACTGGTTAGACCACACATGGATCCTATAGCTGCTATTAAAGGCAACATAAATTTGACTTCAAAAGTTTCACAACGACTTGGCCTTTGATTGCACTTCACTATACTTACTAATACTTTGTAAAGCCCAAGAAATAAAATGACAAACAAGCTTTTTTCTCATTTTTTTCTTTCCTTTCCTTTGCTGTCGATCAGTTATCATGAGAAACTTTAAACACATTTTTAATTGATCATCAATTATTTCTATCAGAATCTCCAGCCGTGCGATTTGTAGAGTCGACGACAGTATTCTTTAAATAGATGCGGGGTTTTTTCTGACTCTTTATTTAAAGAGTTACATGTCCGATTTTAGAAAGGACCCTAAAACCTTTGTCATGGCATAAACAATGGATGTATCGTTGTTGTTCTATTTAAAAATTTATCGATTTCAATTGTGATTTTTTGGTACAAGTGATTTGCGGATTTATGCAGTAACGACTAGGAAAGAAAGTGATATAACCTTTCTTGAAAACGACGATATATGTTTTGTTGTTACCTAGAGGGTTACGTTGGCTGTCCCTTTAATTACAACTTATTCTAGACTTTGACCGACGAAATCGGTAAAAACATTAAAAACAACTTTAGGGATGAATTTAGTTATGCAGAATTAAACTTTAAATCTTTACAACATTTCAGATTTTTTCAAAATGTTATCAATAACATCAAAAAATCTGTAGTATTTTATTAATAATAAATTTGGATATAAAAAAACTTTTATATTTTTGGTTTAAAGCCCAAAATAAATTCATCTAATTTGGAGATCAGGATTCCACAGCCAATAAATGGAAGGTCATTCAAATTAAATCATATATCAATCTGTCTACCTGTCTACACGTGTTTATCTGTTTATCTTTCTGGCTATCTGTCTATCTGAATATCTGACTATCTGCCTATCTGTTTATATCTGTCCATCTGTTTATATCTGTCCATCTGTGTATCGGTCCATTTATTTATCTGATTATCAGTCTATCTGTCTATCTGTCTATCTGTCTATTTGTCAATCTGATTATCTGACTATCTGACTATCTGCCAATCTGTCTACATGTCTACCTGTCTACACCTTCTTATCTGGTTATCTAGCTTTCTGGCTAAATTCCTTTCTGACTTTCTGACTATCTGGTTATCTGTCTTTCTGACTATCTGACTATCTGACTATCTTACTATTTGTTTATATGACTATCTGTCTATCTGTCTGTCTGTCTATCTGCCAATCTGTCTACATGTCTACCTAGCTGTCTACACCTTCTTATCTGGATAATCTAGCTTTCTATCTGACTTTCTGTCTATCTGGTTATCTGTCTTTCTGACTATCTAACTATCTTACTATTTGTCTAAATTTGACTATATCTGTCTATATGAATATCAATCTATCTGTCTGTCTTTCTATCTGACTATCTTTCTATCTGACTATATTTCTATCTGACTATCTTTCTATCTGACTATCTTTCTATCTGACTACCTATTTATCTGACTATCCGTCTATCTTTCTATCTGAATGTCTGACTATTTGAATATCTGACTATCTGTCTATCTGTGTATCGGTCTATCTTTTTATCTGATTATCAGTCTATCTGACTATCTTTCTATTTGTCTATATAACTATCTGACAATCTGACTATCTGACAATCTATCTATTTGACAATATGTCTCTTTGTCTATTTAGTCTACCTTCTTTAGGCCAGTTTATTATCATGGAATAGATCTGATTAAAAGAAATATTATAAGTTTAGGATGTAAGTCATCATTATTGAATTTGAATATACTACCAAAAATTTATTTACAATCAATACTGCTATAGTTTTGTTTGTTTTGTTTATGTTATTAACAATTTCGTTTTGTGTTGAAGCATTAACAACGCAGAATAAAAGATTGATGATTTCTTTATTGAGAAACAACGGAAAAATGTCCGAATTTACTCTTTTTCAGACGGAATTCATTATATTACACATTATTGATTAGATTAAGGTTTAAAAGGTACTGTTGTGAATCGGATATTTCTTTTTTAAATAGAAGTTTACTTATAATCATGACTAAATTCAATATTGCTTATGTTTCTGTTGTGATTATACTTTTGGCTTGCATAAGCTGCCGGTGGAACGACCAGAAAATCTGAACTCCCAAAATATGAAGATTATGTAATTAAACTTCCCTGTGACAACTCCTATAGAATGCCCTTACTAGCAGTCATGGCGAAGGTGATTTTTTTGGTTGATTTAATAAAAAATCTGTAAAGGATTTGAGTCTTTGCCCCAAACTTAGATTTTCTAATCCCTGTATCTTTGCAACCCAATGCCGTAGACCTTATATATTTCAGACTATAATTTCTGGTAGATCAAATAATCTAAGTTTGAAATATCAAAGGTTTGCTACATCAAGTTCCTAAGATATAGGGGTTAGACAATTTGAGTTTGTGACAAAGACTCAATTCCTTAAACTTCTTTATAGATTTATTTTCATTTCAGATATTATATTTTCTTACAGATTTCTCTAATTTCAAAATTTTAATATTAAAATTTCACGTTGTTGTCAAAATTAAAATTATTTTTACAAAACCGCGGCTGTGTCAGGTCTTACAAAAATGGTTGGCCAACGGAGGGAGGGGGTACAGGGCCGCCATGATATGTCCCGCAAAATGGTCTCCAAGTCTCCGGATTCTCAAATGAGTATTTAAAATTACCTGGAGCTACCCCTGAACGATAGAATAGATATTATAGAAGTAAAAAATTGATTAATTCCGATTCTGTGTTAACATTCTGTTTTGTGCTTCAGTCCCTTTCAGAAGTCAAAATTTAATCAGAGCTAGGAACTAGTGGATATCGATATCAATGCTTAATCCTTCTCATTTTCTTAATTTTAAGACTAACCTAATCTTGTATTTGTATTTTGAAAAGTGTATAAAATTCAACCAATCAGAGTCGCGATTCAGAAGCGGGGAAATTTGAAATTTTGCGCCCCATTTAAGATTACTATACAGAAGGGAGGGAGGGTCTCTCTAATTTTTTAAAAAACTGGTTTTCAATTTGTTGTACTTTATCCAAAAAAGAGTGGATTAAGCAAGAAATTAAAAGGGTCCACGACCACATTGGATATTCGGAATAAGCAGTTGGGATTCCTGTTATCCCATTCTAAAGTTCCCAGCTCTATTTTCTATTTACACTTAACTAGGCCAAGGACAGAAAACAGTATGAAGAGTTATGGAGAAGGTTAGACAAATATATTTTAATTCATGAAGAATATCACAAAAGTTGTGCGTTAACAAGAAAACACTAAAATGATCATCTTAATTTCTTTATGTTTAACAAAGTTATGTTTCAGTTGTTTTAAAAGATCTAAATTGATACCGAAAACTCTGTAATTAAATAAAATACAAAGATACACATTAGTGTTTGACTCCCCCTCAATTGTTCTCCAATTTCGATAATTCATAATAAAATTTTCAGCAATTCTGGCTAAAATAAACAATAATAACATAGCTAAATAACAATACAGATAGAAAACTAGATGTTGTCTTTTCAAGATTTATGGATTTTTTTTCACAACAACCCTGGAGCAGAAGCCCAAAGGAGATACGTGCATGCGCGTCACTCCGTTGGGCTTCTGCATCAGGGTTATTGTGAACGAAAAATCACTAAATCTTGAAAAGAAGACATCTAGTGTTCTATCTGTTTTGTGATTAATCTATGAATTATACAATCTATAAAGTATTTCTATAACCATGGTTCATAATTTAGTTATCTATGGAAGGCGAATTGTATATGATATACATCATGCAATATGACCTCAGGATAGGTATCTTAATATTTTCATATTTGATATGCTAGAGGTACTAAACCTAAAATAATTGTATAGTAATAATTTAGAGGTACTGAACCTAGAATAATTGTATAGTAATAGTTTAGTTAGCAATACTTTTCTAATTTGGCATAGGTTTGTTTTGCTCTTTTTTTGGAATCCTTTAAAGATAATTTGTTCAAATTCTCTTTTCAGCCACAGAAAAGTGGAATAATTGGCTTCAATAATCCTCTTCATTTCTTTAAATTCTTAAACGTCGCTACTTGTTTTCTTATATATCCTTTTCTAAACTGTGACATTGAGATAATTATTCTTGTGCTAATCGTATAATTCTTTCAGGAAAATTTAAAAGACAAAGAGTTGAAGCTGACAAATGATTAGAAATAAACTATTTTTTAGTATATATGTTTGTGCTTTCTTATGTTTATTCATGTAAAATTAAAAAAGAATTTTTAATTTTATTATAATTGTTATAAAGTGAATTTCTTCATTTGTTTCGTGTTCAATCTCCTGCGCATTTATACCTGTATAGGCTTGTAGGCCGAGGAAGTTTAGAGTAGTCCTATTAGTCATAAGTACCTTGAAAAAGTCTATTTTTGAGTTTTATTTATGTGTTCCCACTCCCAGCGTAGACAAAATGTTTCTCTATGCGTATGATAAGATAAACATGATTAGACATTTGGTGTAAATGATGATCCAAACTTCATAAATTAAATAAAGTAGGTGTTAGCTATTGTCTAATGATATGATAAACCATATAAATCAATAATAAGTCTAAAATCACAATAAAATAAACAAAACAAAATTTATTATTAGTCAAATGGAAAAAAGGAACAATCATGATATTTAAAAAAAGACAATTTGCAAATATTTACTTTCAAAGAATGTTTTAAGACAATTATTATTCCTTGAGATTGTTTCTGTCATTTAGATCAAAAACAAACTTTTTATGTGTAAGAGTGTAAAGTGGTGGTGAGGGTTGATCAAATTAACAAACTTTTGCTGAAATTGGTTGTGGGGGNGCCTTAGCATTTTTTTCCTGTCAAGTTTCAGTAATTTTCATGCGCTAGAATGGGAAGAAGGGGAGGAGGGTTAGAGGGGATCCAGATATCTTAACCTTATACTGCAAAAACTTTTAAACTTTTTAAAACTGCAAAAATAAGATTCTAAAAAAATCAATATTTCTATAATTTTGACAAGACAAGAGAAAATGGAATCATTTCCACTCATGGCTGGGTATCAAAATATTTTAATAACTGCAAAAAAAAGATTTTTACATTATTCATTTTTCATTATGGATATTGTTTAAAACACTTGTACATAGAGAAATGTATACTAATTAGCTCATAGTACTATAAGTTTATGTTGTAAAATAGCTGGCTCTTTAAATACTCAGCTTTAATATATTATGGCAACTTACTTAAAACAATTAAAATTTGCGCTAGTTTATGGGCCATCAAATTGATCAAGATTAATAGGATCATGAAATATTGCAGACCCTTTAACTCCATTGATCAAATGAAAATTATTATTTTTTTAGTGTTTTAGTTTAAATGTCTATTGTTAGTTTATTGGAGAAACAAACCAAATCTGCATTTTGATGCTAAGATTCAAAGTTTACAAACATTCATTAATCTTCTACACTGGGAATTGTCGAATTTTAGTAAGTTATGCAATATGCATATCTATTTATATGCCAAACTCGAAGTTTAAACTTGTTAAAATCTACTTACAATGTATACAATACAAATATTTTAATATCTACATTATCCTCAAATATGTTAACATCTCTTGATTTTTTTTTTCTTTTCTAAATTTATTATCATTATTAAATTTTAATTGATTTTCTCAATTCTTTTGAAAATTCTAGTAAATTGTTAAGAGTTTACTTTGCAGATGTGCTTCTAGTATACGTTTTATCATTATGGAATACATATATAGTTGTATAGGAAGATACAGGAAGCTTTTTTTTGTAAAAATATTAGGCATTTTAAGTGGATTAATTGTCTATGAAAGAAGACTTTTACATTTGGAAAACCCAGACTAGTTTTTTAGAGACCACTTTATTGTGCAGTACACAAGTACTGATAAATTTCTTTATTAAAAAGGTAGAAAAAGTCAACGTGGTTTGGTATGGCTGGAAAACAATTATGCACAGAAATTCAGAACTTTTTCTTTCACCCTATCTGGCAGTATTTGCCAGATATGTTCCTATGTTACCCAAGGGTACTCAAGGGTTATCTTAAAAATTTCAGCCAGATTGGTCAAATCGTTTGGCCAGTTATAGCTAACATATTCAGTTACAACTTCACTACAAGATAGGATCTCTACAGCTGCTTAGTTCTACATGGCTGGTGAGCCCTCTGTAAAATTAACATGGCGGCACACCCTACATGGAATCAAAGGATCACACATTCAGAGGGTGGAAACCCCCAGACGCCATGAGCCTCTTCTATGTAGACACGAACCTCCCAGATTTTCTAGGCAGACTAAGCAGCTCCACTATGCAGACAAAGCCTCCATTATGCAGACCGTTCCTCAGCTATGCAGTGACAGCGAACGAGCCTCCAACATACAGAACGTAGTGGCATTGGCATAAGAATTTTACTAAAGATTAGATTTATTTATTGATTGTCATGATTAGAAACATATCTGGACTCATAAAGTGATTTATACTAAAACTTTAAACATTTCTTTCTCAGAAAGTAAGATATTTGGAGAAATATTTTTGGAGTAAATTTAGTTTGTTTGGTTGTAATCTTTGATTTAAACAATACCTTTTTTAAAAAATGTTAAGATTTAGATAAATTACACAAATTTTCTAGATTTAATTTGAACTACAAAAAAGGTATTGCTTAAATCAAAGATTATAAAAGATGAAATGAAATTCAATTCAAATTTTGTTCTCTAAATATTTTTCTTTTCTTATAAAGAATGTTTAAAATTTATTAGTCATAATTAGGAACTATTTATAAATACTGCTCATCCCTTTTGATTTTTTTTTTATATAAAACCTCCCCGATTATAGTTATTTTTGATGCCGATAAGGCTGCAAGTTGCAATAAAGAACGAGGTTTAACAAAATCTCGACTCTTTTTTTCTTTGAGAAGGTTTTGGCTTTCTTATACATAATAATGGCCGTTTCCCGGTATGAAACATGTTTAAATGATTGTAAAGATCTCTACTGAAAGTTTTTATCAAATAACTTGTTTACCCAAATTCAATGGTAATGAATTTTATTGACCCCCATCCTCCCCTTTCTCCCACCAGTTCTAATAACACATTTGTTGAGGCATTAATATTATGTAATGCATAAAAACAAAAAACACATTAAAATATTACAACCCAGAAAACATTTTCCCAGCCATGCACTACCAACTTAGATAGATCTGTTATGTATACTGCAAATAAAATCCTTTTTGTTCAAGATTTTAGTCCTGACATCTACAGTACTGCAGACTGCAGTTTTTTAGAAAGTTCCACAAAATATGAGAAGTAAAACAAATGTCAAAATTATTTAAACTACTATACTTCTGAGAGAAAATGTACGCAATAAACAAACTAAAAACAAAAGCTTTTTGACTAATGTTTCCTTAAATATATCTTGAACTACACTTAAGAGATGTAACTTAAACAAAATAATGAAGTACAGTAGAAGGTTTGATTATCTTGTGTAGGATCGAACATAAATGAAGGATAACAAATTTACGATTTCAAATTGTTTATTGAAATTTTGTAGAACAATCAGAGTCCAATATAATTCAACCTTTTCATACTTCAGTCGAAGTGTGAGCTTGATTTCCACATGATTATTCAAATTATTATTTTTAATTTTTTATTAAATTCAGCTCTAACAGTTGATAACTGCTGCATTGAAAGGGTAATGTCTTTTTGCTTTTACTCTTAAAAATAATAAAAAAAAACTCTGTTGAGGTGTTATTGGTCTCAGCTCAGGCGCCAGTTTTTCAATTTTTTAGAATTTTTTTTTAGATAGTCCAGAGCGGTGATGAAACCAGTGGAGTATATTCGCTTGATCTTTACTTAACTTTAATTGCTGATGCTTCAAGTGTGTGTAATGATAATTGTATTTATACAAAGATCAATAGACCAGGTGAATAATGGTGGGGGGGGGGGCTGTTTTAAAAAAATCTTTTTTTATTTAAGCTACAGATCTATAACGTTCATTTTTGAAAATTCCTTGAAAAATTGAATAAAATCATGTGACATCTTGTAATTTGTCAAAAACAAATCANCTATCTAAAACTATCCTAAACTATCTTAAACTGTTTTGAAGTCAAACCTTATAGAAATCCAACGTATAGAAACAGCTACGTATAGCAACATGGCGTATTTTCCGGGAGAACATTTTTTATATTTTTGAGAAAATTAAACTTGCCATGCAAGAACAGCAGCTATATCTTCTTCCTACTATATTGATAAGATAAAGGCTTAAAGAGAATGTTCACGAAAAATGAAGAAAATAATCGCTTTTGATCGCTATTGATCTTACTTCTATCTGTTAAAAAAAGAATTCTGGTGAAAACCCAGCCTATAAACTTCTGTGCTGACTTAGTTGACTTTTCTAGCTCAGAAGTCAACCAGTCCATGGAATGTCCGTAATTAGATATTTTTATAAGTTGATATGTGTATATATTTCCCTCCCCTTCTTCCCTTTTTCCATTTTTAGCCGGAATTTTGGTAGGAAAAAGTTACACTTCAATAATTAACACATATTTTACCCCTCTTCCCTTTTCCCCATTTTTGGCTTGATGTCTAATTAAGATGAAGGTACTGTTGACATGTTGACATATGTTTGTCTGTCTGTTAAATTTAGTGTTTGTCAAATATTTTTGCCAAATAAGCTGTTAACTTATAAGCTAAATTAAGGTCAAATAATTAGACATAGCTTAAAGTAGAGGGTTTTTCAATACAAGTATAGGGATTGGGGAAGGGGGGTTCTTTTAGTTTTTATTTTCACCGCTAGGTGTCTCTTAAAGGGAGTGACTGGCTATGTAAGGTAGTTGAACTAAGTATGCAGTGTTGCGGAAAACATAAACTTCTTTCGGATTCATTTGCAGAGACATATTAAACTTTTTAAAGATCTGTAAATCCTGAGTTTGAGCGCAAATTCGACTTTCCAAACTCCAACTTTGGGGGTGGATACGTTTTCAGAGTAAGTTTTTTTAAATTATTAAATACCGACGACATAAAATGTAAAAAAAGTTCTACAATAAACTACAGACGTCATGTATAGNTTTTTATCTACTTTGTCGAAAAACATGTTATTTCAATAGAAAACAACACCATGCAGTTTGCAGACTGCACCATCAAGACAAGTGAACAATCATTTCATAAACTTATGAACTTACCTGGCGTATTATATTATTTTGGCCCCCCATGGTTTAAAGTTCGAAGGTTCTTGCTTTTAGATTATATGGTGTCCCTAGCAAAAGCAAAGGACTAAGAATCTATATATATATACTTTGCTTGTCTGTTTGTTTGTAACCAATAAACATCAAAACAGCTAATCTGATCAGGCTCAATTTTTTTTGGGACCTCACATGATCCCAGGAAAGGTTTTTGGTGTATGAATGTAACAAATATTGTAGAAAGCCTATATTTGTAAACCTGCATTTACCTAAATATATTATGTTGTACATTGTAACCCACCTACGCCTGTAAATAACTACATCAAACCTGTAAAGTGATTCGCTTAACTACGCTTGTATATAACGATGCAAAACTTGTTATTACCTTCATTAACTTAACCTCTAATATAAAACTAAAAATAAACGTTAGTTGGAATGATACTCCACGTTGATTACTGTGTGAGAGTAATTGTCGCTTGCAGGTAGCAAACAAGAGGTGTCCTGAATCACTTTCTTTAAAGATAGATGTAGATTGGGAATTACATGAGTTGTATCTATGACAGACAGATATCTGACAGACTGAGTTGTATCTGGATTGATATTGACTATCGTATTTGTGATGAACCTTGAGTTCTAGATTGATCTTGTAAGACAGATACCTAAGAACACAGACTGAGTTGTATTTGGATTGATATTGACTTTGGTATTACTGCGGAACCTTGAGTTATAGATAGAGTTGTGTCTTGTAGATACTTAAGAATACAGATAGAGTTAAAAAATTAAATGCTTATGTGGGCCAAACTCAAAGTTGGATGACCACATTTTATGTCCCAAGCATAGAATAATTAAACGAAGAGGTAAAGCTTAGCTCATATGTAAACAACTGACCTCCCTATTAATTAATTAATAGAGTGGTCGGTTGTATACATCACGATATGTTTACGTATCTAACACTGTACACTTGTATATAGAGTTATTGTATTTCTAAGGGGTGGTTTTATGTAGATATTTGAATATTAGTACTGATAATTAGATAGACACTTAATATGGATTGTAAACACAGGATTGTATTGTGCAGTACATTCAAGTTCAGTTGTTTGTTTATTTTTATAAAAGTATGACTAAATATTGCATCGTAAAAAAGTGCAAAAACAATTCTTCTTGTAAAAATGTGAGTTTTTTCAAAATAACAAAAAATTGTGCATGGCTAGACCTTTTTAAGGTTGGGAGACTCCAGAGAATATCCTGCAAAAGTTGCATATGCTCAAGGAGAATTGAATAGGGTTTCCGTACACTTTGCTGTGACATTTTTGGACTAATGGAACTAGTTTTTGCGTAACAACAATAATAAAGATTGTAAACAATAACACAAATGATAAACAGACATCTGAAATCTTTGGCTCGTTGGATGAAGATTCACGGTATACTAACTCATGTTTGTTTGCATTAGATCGGCTGTCTTTGTTATTGTTGTTACGCAAAAACTATTTATTCAGCAGTCCAAAAACGTCACAGCAAAGTGCACGGAAACCCTATCGCCCCCTCCTTCTATTCAATTCTCCTTGCATTTGCTCAAACCATTTTAATTATGAAACCAGCCTATTTCATAATTTGGTTTTCTTTTAACAATAATTTTAGATTTTCTATAAAATGATATTCCAGGGCCCAACAGGTTATTAAGCATAAATATGTGAAGTACACCTGCAGTATGGAAACAGTACAACAAAATGGCCGTTTTACACTTTTTTCCATTAAATTCCTCTCTATATATTCTATTCTCTATGACTAGATCGGCTGCCTTTGTTATTGTTGTTACGCAAAAACTAGTTATTCAGCAGTCCAAAAACGTCACAGCAAAGTGTACGGAAACCATATCGCCCCCTCCTTCTATTCAATTCTCCTTGCATTTGCTCAAACCATTTTAAAGAAACAGTGTTTTGTAGAGAGTGCTCCAAAATAAAATGGAAACCCGGAGAATTAGTTAGAATGGTTTAAAAATTCGAAAAATCATTTGTTTAAACATAAATGGGAAACAATCCCTAATGAAGCAGTGAAAAGAATATTGTGGTCCTGCATCACGGGATCAGCTAGAAAAGAGATAGAGCTGTTTTGTCCTACAAGGTTAGCATTTAAGGAGTATGAAACAGGAATCTTTTTCACTGAACTGTTGAACAGATTCTCACAAGAGAAATACAAGGAGGGCCAGGAACAGGAATACCTAGCCAGGGAACAGGAAAGAGATAAACATCCCAGGGAAATATTATACTGACATGACAAAGTTATGGGAACAAGCGTACACTCCAGACAACAGGAACCTGGTAGAACTCAAGAATGAAATGCTCAGGTGTATGGATAATGTAGAGCTGAAGGAAAAATGTTGTTTTGTTATTCATGAGAAGCTGCAGCATGAAAAGGAGATTAAGGCAGTGCTTGCATGCCAGATATCCCATGATATGGATGGGTTAAAGGTTACATATACAGACAGTTTTGAGACAGTAGAAAACAGAAAGAGAGCTGATGAGATGTAGGAAACAGGAAGAATACCCATAAAGTAAATACAATGACAAGAATAATTGTAAAGGAGACTAAAGAGGAAAGAAGCCAGATTTCTGGTGATGTCAACAAGTTACAAGCAAGAGATAGTTGTTTACTCTGCAAGAAAACTGGTCATCAGAAGAAAGATTGCCAGTCCTATGAAGTGTGGAAGAAGAAAAATCCAAACAATAAGACAGGAAATACAGGAAACATGATATCATAGAAGGGAACGTGTTAAGGAAACTACAGGAAGCTGATGAAGTCTGGAAGGAAGTTGTCCAATGGTTTGTAGAAGGCAAATAACCCCACTTACAAGAGCTGAGAGGTAAAGTACAAAGAGTAATGACAGTGCATGAGACAGATGTTCAATCCTGTGATATTGACTATGGTATTTGTGATAAACCATGAGTTCTAGATTAAGTAGTATCTTGTAAGACAGATACTTAAGACTACAGATAGAGTCATATCCCGATTGATATTGACTATGGTATTACGGAGGAACCTTAAGTTCTAGATTGAGTTGTATCTTGTAAGACAGGTATTATTGAAGATCCTAGAGTACGAGATAGAGCTGTACCTGGATTTGTACTGATCTAAAAGTATTTATTGGAGTTGAGCATTTACTACATAAAATACACTGCACCCTCTCATCATACATACCCTCAAAAGGTTTAATGTTCCTGCAGAAATTCAGCTTTATATCAACACCCTGTATAATAACCAACTTTCTCTTGTATTTACGGACAACTTCTCTACTGATGGATTCCCCTTTAAAAGAGGAGTATTTCAAGGTGACCCGCTTAGTCCCATCATATTTCTGATGGTTTTCAATCCAATAATTGAATTTCTACAGAGTAAGAATGATTGTGGATTTAATCTGAATGAAGAGAAAATTATTCCCAGCATATCCTGGTTTTCAAGTACCCCAGCAGGGATAGGGTTAATACCAGCAAAATGTAGATCATTTTCCATCAGATCAGGTGTACCTAGCAGAATATTGGTGAAACTGAAATTCCAAATATATTTCAAGACGAGCAGAAATTCCTTGGCAAACTTCTATTTCCTTTTGGTAAACTTAGTGATGCGTTCGATTAAATCAAGAGTGAATTGGAAAGAAAACTAATAAATACAAAATATTAAAATTGAGGATGAGGAGAGCGGGGGAAGGCAGGCGGAATGAGCCACCACTATTTTCTCTTCCGTGCCACATATTAGTTCTCTCTCATACTCTCTGTTCTGTGTTTATGGTGTAAACTTAAAATTGCTGACCCCTCCCCCTAATATCCCACTGTGCGCCCCCCTCCCTCACTTTCATAACCCTTTTCACATCCCCCCTCCCCTCCACTAAACTTCATGTTTAACCAGATTTTGAGTAACTGTTTTGCAAAGTTACAGGGTGTCCCAAAAAACATGGGAATTCAGTGACGAATTGGATTTCGTCTTTGTTATGAATTAGCATTGTAATACCTAATTTTAAAAGCCATAATATTACTAGAGTTTATTTTATGAAAAGGGTACAAGACTGCAAAGATCTGTCTATATAATGTCTCCGCAAGATGAACAGTGAAGACGGACAAGTTTACTCTGTTTATATACTGATATTTTCTTGTTTTACTAAGTACAACCGTTTGCAGTCAAAACATAAACAAACAAAATGTGAACATAGCAGACGAAACTCTTACAGATTACAGCTTTCTCAGTAGGTATCACTATACTAAATCAAAGAATTATTTATAAAGACGATATCGAATTCGTCACTGAATTCCCATGTTTATTGGGACACCCTGTAAATAAGAATTCTAAATATGACAATTTAAAGCCGAACAAAATAAATATTAAACAATGAAAATGCTTGAAGTGCATGGAACAAACGATATATTTGCTTGTCAAAAACTATAATTGATTATAGAAAAGGTCTGTTTCATGTTATGTTAGGACTGTATTGTAAATACAATGGTTGGGACACACTGTACATATATTGGATCTCTTACCGGTGAAATCATAAAGCAAAACAATAAAATATTTCAATATTAGGCAAGTACCACAGCGACCACAACTACTTCCACAACCACAACGACCACAACAACCAAAACTACCACAACTACTACAACTACCACAACTACTACAACTACCACAACAACCACAACAACGACCACAACAACCACAACTGCCACAATTACAACAACTACTGCAACTAATCCAGGTTTTTTTTTAACTATATCTGTAGTTTCATATTAAGAATTATAATTTGTATTCACTTCATCCATTTTTGATTTATATTCTCTTTAACTTTGATGATCACAAACCTTTGAATTGTATAGATCATTTTCGCTCAATAACTTTGGTTTTGTCGTTACATATTTCGTTCACAAAAGCGTAAAATTAAAACTTAGTTCGTATTAACCAGAGATAAGAGAGTTACAGAGATCGATTATCAGCTAATAATGCGATATTTTCCACAGCATGTTCTACGACCAATCAGCAAACATCTGTAAACAGGGATATTTAACCCTATTCCTGCTGGGGGGGGGGGGGTCAAGTTGCCCCCCCCCTGTAGTTTTTTTTACATAACTCAAAAAGTATTGGTCTGAGGCTGTTGAAATTTTCTGACTTTTCTTACATACCCAAAGCCCTCCCTTTAGGCCTAAAACTGGGCTTTAATACTAACTGCCTAAGTCCTCAGGCAAACTGCCTGAATGATTGCTTTTGCCTGTAACAAACTAAATCTTTGTTTTGACCCACTTTCACTTGTCAGATTTTGATAAAATTTAGCTTTTTGGAAAGCCTATGACATAAGGAAACGGATTGCACAAGTTTTGCGAAAAAAAAATTGCAAATTTTTTGCAAACAACCTGTCAAAGGAAATTTGCACATTTTTAGTTTTTCTTGATTAAAAATCAGGTTATTTAAAATTTTGCAAAATTTTTTGCATATTTGAAATGGCATGGGGCTTTTCAAAAATGTATAATTTTTCATTTTTTGGACAATTTTTTTTTTGCAAACATTTTTACTATATAACTGGATTTTGCGATAAAAAATTCAATTTTTGCAAATTTGCAATTTTTTTTGCAGATTCTAAAAGTAGCGCACAAGAGCTTTCTAATGATGTATCATTTGTCATATTTGGACATAAAACATGGGATTTAGAGGGGGGGGGGCAAATTCAAAAAAGAATGTATTAATAAATGTTATGTTTCATGTTTAAAATTGGAGTATTTCTTTAAAAGTTGTAAAACTTAACCCCTAAATGGGTATTATGTTCAACAAGTGGCTGTGAGATGGCAATCTAAAAACCTATTGTAAAAACGTAGCATGTCGTGCCGGGTCAACTTAGGCCTACATAGCCCACCCTGTGAAAGGAGATAAGCAGTCTGTGTAGTCTGTGGTATTAACTGTCTTTTTACTTGTTATTTTCTAGTTTTTTTTACCGTTTTTAAACACTTGATCAGGCATAATTCATAGTTTGAAATATGAAACTGGTTTTGAACATCTGCTTTCTAAGCTAATTGTAATAAATAAAGTAATAAAGCCCATATCTTGTAAACCTGAACCTACCTTATTATCGGGCACTTTAATCTCATTATATTAAATATGGTTAGTAATAGTTTAATATTAAAACTGTTTTATTACATCCAGATTAGCTCTTAGAGAATATAGAGTTTGAGAGTGTTGTATCAGGATTGTTACATACTTGAGAATACAGAGAGAGCTGTATCTGTATTGATATAGACTTAAAAGAACTATCTTAGTAAGGTATTCATTACAAAAGTGGTGACAGATGGTGGGATCTATGAACCCTGTTAAATGCCACAAACTCCATCAAAGAAAAGCCAAGTCAGAGCCTGGCAAAACGGAGTAATAAGAGAAACCCTAGAACCCTAGGACCTGTGTCAGAAAAAGCAGTAACAGTGCAGCAGGGCGCAGCAAGTTAAGACTAGGGATGTTAACATTTTCATTTTTCAGAAAAACAATCGTTTCGTTATGAAAACGACGCCGGAAAATTGAAAACGAAACGATTGTTTTAAAAAACAATCGTTTTTTTTAAGTTTGTGTTTTAAAAATGGTCGTTTTTCAAAACGCTCGTTTTTCAAAACGATAGTTTTTCAAAAGGATCGTTTTTATAAAATTCGTTGTTTTGTTAACAAGGACCCTTCATTAAAAATTGTTAATGACAACCCTTTGTTAACGATCGTTAACGACGAACCCTTCGTTAACGATCTTTAATGAAGAGAGGAAACCAACCTGAAGGGCATCTGTACTTATCATTGAGTAGTATTTAAGAAAATATCAAGGAGTTTTAACTCCCCCACAACTGTTAAACTTCATGTAAGACGACATTCAATATAGTTGCATGTAATTTTTTTCCAAAAACGACCGTTTTGGTAAAGTTCGTCATTTTGTTAACGATCGTTAACAACAATCTTTTGTTAATAATCGTTAATGAAGACCGTTCTTTATCGATCGTTAACGACGACCCTTCGTTGACGATCCTTAACATAATTAGATTAAACCCTAGTTTACATAGTGAAGACAAAGTAGATACAGAACTGCCAACCGGTTGTGCAGGGGGAAACCCTCAACTCACAGAATTTCAAATCATAATGCAAAAGACCAAGCAAACAGAGTTGCAAAGCCCAGCTAATGAGAAAACATTGCATAAAGAGTTGCAAAAAGTTAAAATGAAGAAAGAAAATTGGTCATTTGTGCAGACGTGGAAAAATAATGCTACACCAGAAAGCCAGGACCCAATTACAAGAGTACAAGCAATGCTGACGCACAGCAAGATTATGGATGCACAACAGAAATACAAGGAGCATCTAAATGAACAAGTGGCAGATGGGACAGCAAACATGAATACGTACAAAAAGCTAAGAAATGATGAAGCTAGTCTTGATAAGAGAATCTGTGTTTCATAGAGAGTGCTACAAAATATAGTGAAAACCTAAAGAAAGTGTTCAAATGGTGTGAGAAATTGTAAAACCATTTGTCTTATCATAAATGGGAAAACAATCCCAAATGAAGCAATGAAAAGGATGCTGTTGGCATGCATCACAGGATCAGCTAGATAAGAGATAGGGCTGTTGCACGATTAGCATTTGAGAGCTATGAGACAGGAGTGTTTTTCACGAAGCTGTTAAAGAAATTCTCAGAAGAAAAAGACTAGGAAGGCCGGAAACAGGGAAGAAATAATTATCCTATGAAATGGTTGTGGGTACAAGCATATGTACTAGTCAAGAGGAGCCTGGAAGAATTCAAGAAGTAAAGGCTCATGGGACTGTACCATGCAGAGCTGAAGAAAATATGCCTATTGTTTAAGCCTAAGGAACTACAATACAAAAGCGAGATCAAGGCAGTATTGGATCATCAGCTGGTTAATGTTCTCAAGTTGACCAGCTGATGATCTATTCTCTTTCCCTTATTCATAAATCAGAATGGAGAGCCTGTCATAATACATAACTGGTTTAATCTTTCCTGACCTACACTTTGGGTAACTAACTTTGCTGCTTGGTCTGAACAGGAAATGAACACTTCCTGTTGAAATAAAAATTCCATGCCAAAATTCACTGCATGATTTAATCCTTCTATCACTATGGGGTCACCTTCAAAAACTTTATCTAACCTTAAAGTTAAAACTTGATCTTTTCTCCTCTCCCTAATACATTAATTGCTTTTCCTTCTTTCTTTGCCGTGCCCACATGAAAATTGCTCTTTCCTGACATTTTTCCTCCTATCATTTCCCAGAATTCCTTTGATACAAAATTACCCTTAACAAGATTTCCTGTATCTATTAATGCTAAACCATGAATGCACTCTTAAATAACTTATACTTCGCATACAAGGTTTTACTGTTGTCTTTCTCTATCTCATTCATACCGTTCAAGTTCATAGTTAAATCTTTTTCCCAACAAATCACTTTCTTTTCTAACTTGTCTTGAGGCTTTAAACTGCCAATAACTCAGGATTAAAAGGCCAGTACAGTGGCCAGAGTTTAAATTTGTGCAAATTTTAATGTGTTTGGCTTACCAAACCAAATCCATTCAGATAATGGATGTGAATTTGTGAATAAGTTATGGCAAGAATTATTCCTAAAGCTGAAAATATTGCATACTAAGACCCCACCAAATATGATTGAGAGATGTTACAGAACCATAGTGAGTATTCTGAAAACAATGGGAAGAGAGATGCAGGAAGAATGGGATTTGGGTGTGAAAGCTGCCTGTTTAGCTTATAACACAACTGTGCAGTGTGCATACTAGAATTGCCAAACCCAATGCTTTGCAACCTTTGGATGTGAAGCACCTCTTTCAGTACATTGGATATATCCAGTTCCTAAAGCAGACAGGGAGATGGAATTATCCAATTATCAGACTGGACAGAAACAATTAATCAGGAAAGATTCCAAACAAATTATGCTGGCTTGAGAGAAAAACAACAAGGAACAGTATAAGTTGGAATGGAGAGTGGGTCTGGGTTTTTGATCCAAAGTTTATTCCTAGAACCTGTGATAAGTAAAGATTATTTTGAGCAGGACTGTACAAGATTATCAGAAAAATCTCTCCTGCCTTAGCAGAAGTGATGGAAGTTTATGAAAAGGTAAAATCAAGGCTGGTCAGCATAGATATATTGAAACATTTTAGAGGGGATAGTCATATGCATGGACAGTAAACAGTAGAGTGGAGACAGTGGAAATGTTAATTCTTCCATAGAGAATCAGCAAGAACGCATTACAAGAGTGGAAACCCCTTGGGGGGTCTCTCTAAAAAAAGGCGATAGTTGGGGTTGTGAGGGTAGTTGCCATTTAGAATTAGCTTCAAGGGTGGGGTGGGGTCTCTCTAAAAACAGACAACAGATGCAGCAAAAACACAGGGAGTCAAAATGGATAAATAGAGAAGGGATCAAAAGGAGTCAATGAAACAATCCAATAATTTCATATGAAGAAATGGAAGATGATATGGATGAATTAGACCAGCTTAAATGTTGTAAGTATGGAGTGAATTGTATATTAGGTCAATGCAATTGTGTCAAAGAAAATTGGAACAGGTTCCAGTCCAATGGTTCCCTGGCGCAAACACTACCGATATATCAGAATCCTTGCACGGACAATTAGAATGGAACCAAGCTAGAAATAGTTCTAGTAATACCATAGCTAGCATACAAGACAGTCCCAGTAGTACCAAACAAAGTTGGGTCAGTTCAAAGGTTCAAAATAAGGATTATCTTGCAACATTAAAAGAAGTATAGTACATATGGGTACCAAAATATAGTTAGTTGAATATGAATACTGTTTTACTACGGTCAAACGTATTAGCTCTTGGAGAATATAGAGATTGAGAGAGTTTTATCAGGATTCATAAATACTTGAGAATACAGAGATAGTTGTATCTGGATTTATATAGACTTAAAAGAACTATCAAAGTAAGGCACTTATTACATAATAACTATTAATCTCTTCATTACAGGGAAGAAATAGGGATGCAGTAGAAATAGGAGGGAAGTAATACATTGCCATGGATTCCAATATTACATACATTTCCAAGGCCAGCAATGTAATATTCCCTCCAATGTTTATTGTATCCTTGTTGCCTCATGTGAATAAAGAAATATGTAATTCTTTTCAACTTTTAAACAAATTTTATTGAGAATTTTCTACTTCTTAACAAGATATAATGTTTTATTTACATCAAAAGCTACCTTTTTATGGTTTTAAAAACTGTAAAATCTATTTAGTTTTGTATGCAATGTAAATATTGGGGATCCAATAGAGTCATAATTTTGTTTAAAGGTTAGAAAAAGATAAATAAGTTAGAATTGGAGAAAAATAATCATTTTTTTCAATCTTTGTAAAGTGATAAAATAATACATTGAACCATAATTTAAAAACTACAAACTGATTATCTCTGTAATGTTAGGATGTGGAGCTTATTCGAAGAGATTGGCTATGACAAGAATTGTTGGCGGATCACCATCAGATCCTAATGAATGGCCATGGTTAGCTGCTCTGGTAAACACATTGTACTTTTTACATTAAAGTAACTCTTGGCATTGTGTATTCTTAAATCTTTAAGTGTTTTGAGGTTAGATTTCATTTAGTTTGAATGTATAAAGGTTTGATTATTTTTTTTTACATGTTAACTCATTTTTTCTATATTTTTAGTTGATTCCAATCTCTGGCGAATTAAGCAATTATTGTGGTGGGGCTCTTATATCAGAAACCCATATTCTCACAGCTGCTCACTGCATTCAAATGTAGTTTTTAGTAGTAATAATAATGATGATAATAATAATAATAATAATAATAACTAGCTGAAAGACCCGGCATTGCCCGTGGATTAAATTTTGAAAGAAAAGAGTTTCAAATTTTATTTAGCCCCGGCCAACCATGAGTGTTCACAAAAAATAGACTTGGAGAATATGATTTTAACATAAGAGGGGAAACCCTGGTCCAAGAGTATTCTGTAATATCCGCTGCAGTTCATCAACAGGGAATAGTTCAAAATTAAAGCATTTTCATTTTTAAAATTATGGAAAATTTCTGAAAAATGTTGTTTATAATTTTTAAGGCTTTTTCTCCAATCATTTCTAATATTTTTAAATTCTAAATTTATTGAAACATTTCTATAAAAATAGAAGTAAGTTGTTAAATTTATATTTTGAAACTTGTCTACAATTATAATAATGTAAATTGAATTTCTAGGATAATTTTGAAGAAACTGTAGTATGTGTCAGCAACTTATCAGAATGACATTGCAATTTTAAAGTTGGCGAAGACGGTCCAGAGGTAGGGAATTTTAAACAGAGTTAGGCTTTTTTCTTTTTGTTTGTCTATCATTTGTAAGCGTAAATGACCTATTTTGGTAGTTTTTTTTTCAATTGTTCAAAAAAAGTTGGTTTGTTCTCAAAATTATTGTTCATTTTCCCTCAATTTTGTTAGTTTTTACACAGACCGATCTTTCAGTAAAAAGACTATCAATTTTTAAAAAGTTTGTTCCAAAAAATCGTTCCTTCAGATAAAAAAAATATTTTTTTTTTCAAGTTTGCTTTAGTATTTCTTTAATAGTTAATATAGTTTTTTTAATTTCTTTGAACGATCCAAGTCGTTCATCCATCGTCTTTATTTTTTCTACCTGACAACATTGTCCACAAAAAATATCATCGTTCAAAAACCATCCCTAACTAAGGGTGCAAAATTGGTCTTTAAAACAGTGAAAAATATACTTCATGGCCAGTTTCAATTTACAGCCCCGAGCCGAGATTTAGATGTAAAGCCAGACCTGACCTATTATAAAAACAAGCTTTTGTAAAGAATGAGTTTTAGATATTCACCCCGGACTAACCAGGGCAAGATAAATTTGGTTTCCACACTTGAATTCAACAAATTAAACGGAACAGAATATTTCTGTAGCTGTTGTATTATTCGATGTTAAGGAAGGGGGGGGGGGGTATCTTTTTTATTACTGGGTATTTCGCAGCTTTTTTAGATAAAGGAATTGACTCTTTGTCACAAACTCTGATTTTCTAATACCTATATCTTTGCAATCCAATCTCGTAAACGTTAGATATTTCAAACTATGGATTCTGCTAGATCAAATAGCCTAAGTTTGAAATATCAAGGGTTTCCACCATTAGGTTGCCAAAATATAAGGATTAGAAAATTTAAGTTTGTGGCAAAAACTCAATTCCTTTATCAAGTCATCAACAATGTTGAAAACCTATTGAAAATTTTCAATATTTTAATAGAACAAAATCTGTTTCTCCAATATGCCTACCTGAATCAGATGCTGATTTTCAGGGACAGAAAGCCTGGGTCGTAGGTAAATAAAAAAATTAACATAAATAATATATTTCAAAAATAATAAGGGATGGGTTTCCTACAAAAGATGAGCCCTGAAAAATAACTTCAGTTGGAATTATTTTTTCTAGCAAACATATCAATTATTATTTAAAGAAAATATTTTGTTTACTATTAAAATACTATGATAAAGGTAAAAAAATAATATTCAACCGTAAGAACTTCATATTTAAAATTTTGAGGTAGAGCTAGCAAAGGTCCGTTAATGTACAGAAAGCATTTGAAAAAGAACAGAAGATTCCATTATGGTACGACACAATTTGTTACTAAAAGGTCTGCGCCAAAAAAAAAATTTTAATCCCAAATTACAGGGCTTACTTGGCTACCTTTTTCCTCCATTTATATCAGACGTCAAGCGTTATCATTGATGGTATTCCTTCAGATTAAACCAATCAGAGCTTCCATATGAAAATGGTACTAGCTGTCCAATATCAGCTGTTTTGGACTTTGTAAAATATTTATAAAGAATTCCAATAAAAGGGACCAATTATAATAAAATAAAATTTTAGGATTTGGCTCTTTATATTTCAATGGTCCAGCAAGTAGTATTCTACAAGAGGTTGAGGTTGATGTATGGAATCAACAGGAACCCATTTTTAGCAAAATATGGTTTTGAAAAAAAGAAGTGTCGTTTTTTGAAAAGGATCGTTTTTTAAACTGAAAACGAACCTGTAGTTTGTTTTCTAATTCTTTGTTTCGTTAACAAAGATTGGTTGTTACAGATTTTTGACGATCAGTAACGATCGTTAATAATCATCAATGAAAACAAAAAATGCAGTGGAAAAGTTCTTTAGTCGTCATGAAACAAATTAAGAAAACGATCAACGGGAGGAAACCAACCAAATGGGATCTGAACTAATTATTGTGTAGATTTTTATGAAATTATTAGTATTTTACAGTTTAGTTGCGGTAAGTACGGCTCAAATAGTATAGGGGTAAGCACTGAGCTTGTCTCTAGACCAGCTAGTAAAAGGTATAACAAAGGTGGCATCTATTCCAATCTTTTTTATTCAAAATCTTACTGTATGATACAGGGTGTCCCAATAAACATGGGAATTTAGTGACGACTTTTATATCGTCTTCGTTAAATGCAGCATTTTTTCATGAACACAATTATTGCAGTATTCCAGCTTAAACATCTAATATCGAAAGCGCCTGGTCTTGAGATTTTCAAAATGTGGTCTACCATTTCTGTATCTTTAAAATTGAAGAAGATATTGCGAAATTCGTACAAGTTTCAATTTATTTAATAAATCAAAATTGTCTTAATATGTAATATCTTTGTCAATTTTTAAGTAACAAGATAGGTAGACCACTTTATAAACAGCTCGTCAGACGTACAGCCTAGTTTTTTTTTACTTTCTTTGTCATGCATTAAATATCAGAAATCAAAGACGACTTTCAAGTCGTATCTCAATTTCCATGTTTATTGGGACACCCTGTAGTACATAACATTAATTATGGAAATATAAAATTCACCTCTTTTGCTAAAAGACATGTGCCTCTAATTACAGACGTAAACGCAAGTAAGTGTTAATCATAGACTAAAAAATGAAGAATAATAATCAAATATGTTAATCATAGACTAAATAATGAAGAATAATAATCAAATATGTTAATCATAGACTAAATAATGAAGAATAATAATCAAATATGTTAAGCCCAACTAGATAAACAGCCTTGTTTCAATAGAAGTAAAGCATTATGATTCCTTTTTGCCCCTAATTTACATGGGAACTCTAATTGGATTAAAAGAAATGGATTTATTGAAAGATAGATCTTGCGCCTTTGCAATCTCTATTTGGTTCTGAATACTCAAAATATACGTAAGTAAACTCTGATTGAATTGAACAATACCAGAAAATTTAAATAAGGGTGGATAGGCCATAAACTCTTCCAGCCATTTCACGCCATATTTGGTAAGACTATTTCATGACTGCCATCTAACACCTCCTGTTTCATGACTGCCATCTAACACCTCCTGTTTCATGACTGCCATCTAACACCTCCTGTTTCATATATTCCACTTTCACAGTTTCCAATCAAGAAATTTTAACGTCCATATTTACACTTTTGAAATTTAATTTTGATCTTCTATTTCCTTTTGATCTAAGTTAATTATGAAAACCTAAATTATTAATCTAGTTCTAAATACTTGTTTGTAAGGCTATTAAATGAATCCCATCTTGATTTGGATACTCTCTTATTTCTGATATTAAGCAAACAAACTAGAAGTGTAAAACTAAAAAGTCTTAATAAGTAGATCAAATTATTAAGACATTTTGTTTACAGATTCTTAGAAATTTGGTTTGGTAAGATCGGAACGACAATTCAAACCAGTTATCGTCGTCACTCCTCAAATATAAGGTTTTTAGGATGCATCAAAAAAAATTTACGAAATTCCTCTTTTAAGGTTCATTCTAAATACAATGCTATGTGCTGGTTCTCCTGGGAAAGACTCCTGCCAAGGTGATAGCGGGGGTCCGCTGAACTGTAGAAATCCAACAACAGGTATGCTTGGGAAAGGTTTCTAAACAAACAAATAATCTTAAAAAGTAAATGTAGTAGACATGAAATCTTTTGTCAATTAAATGTGTAATCTATGCAATGTAGTATCGAAGAAATCTAGTATCTATGAAATGTAGAATTTATGAAATGTCCATGAAATTAATTTTCTATAAAATGTCTTATCTATGAAATGTAGCATCTTTTAAGTGGAGTATCTTTTAAAAGCAATATCTATGAAATGTAGTATTTATGAAATGTAGTATTTATGAAATGATGAGTATTTATGAAATGATGTAGTATCTTTGAAATGATGCAGTCCCTTTGAAATGTATTGTTAAACATGTTTTATCTTTGAAATGTATAATATATGTTTAATCGTCTTATCTATGATATTAAATACACTCTCCATGAATTTTTTTTTTTTTTTCATGAAATATTCTTAACATTTTGAGGAACCTGGTCTTTGTGTGGAATAGTTTCCTGGGGTATAGCGTGTGCAGATAAAGGTTATTTTTTTCATTAAAATTTCTGTAAATTCTTAAGTTATTTATAACTATTTATAATACTGTCCTTTTGGTTTGCAGTGTTTAAGTTTTTGGACAGAAATTTTTCTTCATCGAAAAGGTTCAAGTCTTTTTAGATTTAATTTTGACAAAATATAATCTAAAAAGACGAGAACCTTCGAGTTATAGACCATTTTATGTAACGTTTGTGTACTTGTCTTACTTCAATGGCTATTTCTAGATCAAATAAGCTTTGAAACTATGCAAAAGTCAAAATAAGGGGTTGATTTTAATCTTATTTTTATTTCAATTAAAAATTTTTTTTTGGAAATATCCTAATTCGGAAACCAATCAAAACTTTTTGGCACATATAGCACATGTACAGATAAAGTACACTGTGCTGTCTGTGACTATAGTTTCATAAAAAATAATCTTCAATAGAATAGGGCGGAGATGAAAAAATAGAAATGATTAATATAATTCACAAAAAAAGATAAGATATGAATGGCGAAATTAGACAAGCATTTTTTTCTGTGGAAATCCTATAACGTTACATGTGATCAACAATATGAAAGTTATTCTTGTTGTTCTAATCAAAAAAAAGTTTATTCCTGATAATTTCCTTTCATATTTTATTCAGCAGATTTTTTTAAAAGAAATCTCAATTTAAGATTTTAAACTATTTTTCGAGATAAAGAGGTTTTTATCTTAAATTGGCATTTATGGTTAGTGCAGTAAAAACTAAGGGTATTTTGCAGGGGTGGGATAACTAAACACTCCCCCACGAACTCCATGTATCTTTGCAACCGAATGGTGCGTAAAGTTTTGATGTTTCGAACTTATACTTTTGGATCTAGGAGAATTCTAAGTGTTTTGAATATCTAAGCTCTATACCATCAAGTTGCAAAGAATAAACAATAAGAACTAGCGACTAATGTATAGAATAAACTATAAATATCGCAAAAGCTGTTTTGATATAACTTTACCTGTTTATTCAATGTTGATTTATAAATTTGATATTGTTAGTCGCTGTAATTTGGCAAAAAATAGAATTTTAAAGGGACTGTAAAGGAAAAATGAAAGGGGGTATAGGCTGAAAGCTAATCACCTTAGCTCTTGATCGCGACCCATGAAAGTTTTATCTGATGTTCCTGTCTCGAGAAATTGATATAAAACTGTATTAAAATTATACGAAAGTTCATATATGAAAAACTTAGAAAATCTTTAAACTTAAATCACGTGACCAGAACTATCACCAATGGGAGAGAAGTATACTGGTCACGTGTCTCCGCCTTTATCACATGACCACTTTACTGCACTGTCATTGGTGGAATTTCTGGTAAAGTAATACGGACGTATAAATAATTTAATGAATTAAATCTATCAAAAATAGAAATAAAAAATACAAAATTATAATTGGAGTAAACCAAATTTACAATTAGCTTTCTCTGGAATATCATCGTTTTCAAATTGGTTGCTTATTTGCTGAATTTGATCTATTTAAACCCTCTACTTTTACAGAAAATTGTATATATATTAATTTTCGTATAAATTTGACACAGTTGTATATCAATTTCTCGAGATAAGAACATCAGATATAACTTTCATGGGTCGCGATCGAGAGCTAAAGTGATTAGCTTTCAGCCTGTAGCCCCTTTCATTTTTCCTTTACAGTCCCTTTAAATCCAATTTTTAGGAACAATACATCCCATGTTTTTTGGAATTTAGACATCTTTTAATTTTGAAATCAACGAACAAAATTTTTTATGTTTTTTGTTTAGATTATCCTGGAGTTTATACAAACGTTGCAAGATATCTAGATTGGATAAATACAAACAGTTTATAAGCATCGAAATAAATAGATATTTATTAATTTTTCATTTAATTCTTTTGTATTATAGTATATTGGGTAACCCACGGCATGAAACGATGAAACTTTTCAAACATGATGATCCCAAGTTTCAATTAAGTCTTGAAAGCGGTGTTTAAATGACTTTCTTAATAATTTGGCAAAGAAATAAAGAAGCTAATGGTTTCATGTGAATCATGAGTATAAGGAAACAGACAGAATAAATTTTTCGCTTCGTTTTGAGGATTTGAGATACTACGCGAAAAATAAAATTCTTAATTTTTTCTTGCAAATCTAGACTAGATAAAGAGCTTTAGCTAGCAACAAAATTACGAACACATGATACATAAATTATTTATACAGAGAGTACAGCAGTTTGACATATACGGGTTGAGGTTGGATATAGTTTTTCAGAACTAGAAAAGAAGAGAAAAACGAATTTCGCCAAATAAAAACGGGGCTGAAAGAGCTCTGGAAAACTATGTCCAACCTCCCAATTGGTACTCATATAAACACGTACTGTAACGTCTAAGTCAAGAGTTGAAAAATATTGGTATCACTTAAAATTTTAATGTAAATAAAAATAACAGTATAACTAGAAAGAAGTTTTTAGACTGAGAACTGCGGTTCCATCTATATTTGGTTTGGCTCGGAGCTAAGGTCGTCTAAGATTCTTGAAATCATTAAGAATTAGCAAATTCCGCAGAGTCGTCTCTGAAGTTTCATCCTTTATGTGTAACCTGTATAAAGTGTTGTTAATCGCTTTGGATCGTTAAAAAGATTTCAAAACTGTATTATGTATGTTTACTTATATTAAACTTTTAATATCTTTTACAAATTTACAAACCCACTTTATTTATACACCACTACACTTAATGGACGTAGATAACCCCACCCCCCACCCCTCCCTGACTGGAATATCCCTCTCTCCCCATCTCCCCTATCTCGTGACTGAATATCACAAGTCTCTAGATACGTTGTATAGTTAGATCAAACAAGATTTTAAATCAATGTAGGAGGAATTAAGATCAATTATAAGAATATTTCTAATTCTTTATCAAATTATATTGAATTTTTTTTGTATTTAATTTGAGTGAATTAATGTCTGCATTATAAAATCAGAAATTAATTTATAATCGGTCCATTTGTTATCCCCTCGATTATTATTAACTTGTCTAATTTGAATATTTCTAAGTCATCGCCCTACATTCATCATGAGACAACCTAATAGTGCAGTGCCGTATTCTCAGCTGAAAGGTTAATAAGGGACTGTCCACGTTATTTGTCAACTGTCAAGTTGAGTTTTATTTTACGAACTTTAAAGGGACTAACGACCTTTTCAATTTTGAGTCTTGCATAATTACGAATGCTTAAATAATGAGACATAAGCTTATACGCTCTTAAGAATATGACAGTTGGATTTCAATTTACCTGATATACTTTATCTGAAAACCAATGAGGAAGATATCTTTTTTTCTAACTAGAAAAGTAATAAATTCTTTTAATATTTTCTTCCTTCTCTCTGAAAGATATATGCTTCAGTAAATTTTACAAATCAATTTGTACCTAGACAAAAATATCTCATTTATGCTTTATCAACTGTAAAATAATGCATTTTTACTTTCGTTTCTTAAAGGCATGAAATTTGCTACTCTCAAAAGAAATCTAATGAATAGTTTATTTTCTAATAGATACCATGACGTACGTCCTTGTAACTATTGCTGTATTAATATTTAATTAGCATAACATTTTTTTGCCATTTATTTTGCCACTAAACAGGTGTGGAAGCGCAATCATCAAACACCATTTTGTAACATAATTTTTGGGCCAGAGGTAAAACGGGTAAGGGCAGCTCCAACCCCCCCCCCAAGTCAGAATTTTTTTAGACCCAGGACTACAGCCAGTAAAGGTTGTTTGTGTACATACTGACCTCTACCGTACTCAAATTATTCAAGGTAACAATTTGAAATAATTTAAAATAGTCTGGGTAGTCAGGGTAGTCAGGGTAGTCAGGGTAGTCAGGGTAGTCAGGGTAGTCAGGGTAGTCAGGGTAGTCAGGGTAGTCAGGGTAGTCAGGGTAGTCAGGGGTCAGATTTTCTGATAGATTTTCTGTACATCATTTTAGACGAGGCGAGGGGTAACGTGGAACAACACTAAAAACTGTTCATTAAGGAACCCAACTAGAAGAAGGAGCGAGGTTAAATTTTTGCCTAATCCTAACAATGTTGGGTCTTTGCTTAACAGCGGCTATCCTAGCGCTTAGTATGCCTGCAGCCTTTAATGGAGAAACCATATTTGGTGAGTACTAAAGTACATTTGAAGTACAGATTTTAAACATTCGTGGTTTTTGGACTTGTAAAAAGCTTGACAAGAATCTAAGATTTTAAAGTTGTATTTTGGATAAGCTTTTTTACATAATTTAATATTTGTACTCTAAATAATGATACAGAATGATCCCCAAAGAACGGCTAAAACTCTTATCATTTGACGATCCCAAGTCTGCCTTAAAAATAGTCAGTTAATTGGTTTAAAGTTAATGAATTATGACGAAAAAAAAAGTTTACAGTTACAGGGAATCGAATCTTGGTTTTTTTGCAGTCGTCTCATCTCACCTTCTGTGGGTGACCCTGTGTATGTATGGCCAAAACGATGGGTTTAGTCGTTTTCATACAATGGAAATAAAAATCTTTGGTCAGGGAAAAAATTTGCATTTATAGCAAACTTAGAGAAAATCATATTTTGCTAATTGAAAACCAACTCAGATTCAAGCACCTTTGAAAAATTTCAATGTTTAAAAACGGATCCTCAAAACGATACCCACCTGTATTATGCATATCCAATATAATTAAGTAGTATTATGTTATTTGATTACAGTGAAACTGATTAGACATTTTTTAGATATCGTTGGTAGTGAAGTGTATGAAAGCCTAGAGCCGAATGAGTTTTACGATGTTAAAAATATAAAATTGAAGAACTCGCAAATGTTTGAAAATCTGGAAACTCTGAGAAATTTAGATGGAAGTAATGATGAAGAAATTGATCTTTCTGGAGAAGTTTATCCTAAAAAGCAAACAGAGGTTAGTGACGGGGTTTAACTTTATTGTGACAAGACAAGCCATTTTCTATTTTTATTGTGACAAGACAAGCCTTTTCTATGTTTATTGTGGCAAGACAAGCCAATTTCTATGTTTATTGTGACAAGACAAGCCATTTTCTATTTTTATTGTGACAAGACAAGCCATTTTCTATGTTTATTGTGACAAGACAAGCCATTTTCTATGTTTATTGTGACAAGACAAGCCATTTTCTATTTTTATTGTGACAAGACAAGCCATTTTCAATGTTCATTGTGACAAGACAAGCCATTTTCTATGTTTATTGTGACAAGACAAGCCATTTTATATGTTTATTGTGACAAGACAAGCCATTTTCAATGTTCATTGTGACAAGAAAAGCCATTTTCTATGTTTATTGTGACAAGACAAGCGATTTTCTATGTTTATTGTGGCAAGACAACCCAATTTCTATGTTTATTGGGACAAGACAAGCCATTTTCTAATTTTATTGTGACAAGACAAGCCATTTTCTATGTTTATTGTGACAAGACAAGCCATTTTCAATGTTCATTGTGACAAGACAATCCATTTTCTATGTTTATTGTGACAAGACAAGCCATTTTCTATGTTTATTGTGACAAGACAAGCCATTTTCTATGTTTATTGTGGCATTTTGTATCATAAGTTCTAGTAATTATGATTTTAACCCAATTCTAAAATATTGGGTGTCCTAAAAAATATAACAGTTGAGAGACCGCTTCAAGATCGTTTTAATCTTTTTCATACTTTTCGGCATGCATACGACAATTTACTTTTATAAGTATCATCCATGAAATATTGATCTCAAAATTTTCTTAGTCAGAGCACTTTTAAAATGTGTTTTGCCTTTTCTTTACCTTTAAATATTATCGAATTGTGTAAAAAATTTTATTCAGATTTCAATTTTTGAAATAAAACTAAAATTGTCTTAACATGAGAGAACGTTGCTTCTAAAATTATTTGACAAATAAATGCCGCAATATATTTCAAACATAAAAGACGATCTTCAAACTGTCTTTAAACTTACTGTAGCATTCTGAACTTTTCAGGACTTTGAAATAGAAGATGAGATTACTATGAAGGATGTTGATTACCCTGATGAGGACGGAATTATGACAAACCAACCCTTAGATTCATTTCTAAACAACAGACCTATCATAGGTATATAAACATAACATTTATACAGTCCTTTTCTATAAAGAACCCGGAATATTTACCGTATGACTTTGTTCAGAATGAAACATTTTTTTTAGTTATTTTGAGAGACAGACAGGTTACCTATAATGAATGTCGCAAACTAATTTTATCATATTATGAATATTATTCCGGGTTATTTAGAATGGGACTGTATGATAAAAAAAAAAAAAAAAAAANTCATCATTGTTATAATTCCTATTAACATTATAGTCATTACCATTTCTAATATCATTAATATAATTATTTCAATTAATTATTTTTTTTATTTTAACCAATATTGTACTTTTTAATATTATCATCACTATCGTTATTCTCATTAAAAAAATCAACATGATTATTGATATTTTCCATTATTACTGGTGTTATTTGTCTTATGTGTAAAATCCAGGAATGGACAAATTTCACTCTTTTCAGAAAAACGATAATTTTCTTTGAAACTTTCTATGATTGCTATAGATCATATGCTACTGCAACCAAAGATATAACATATTGTAAGAAAACATTCCTACGCTTTGCGTAAGCATAAATATTTACCTAATTTGACTGAAATAAATCTTGTAAAAAAAACGATTGTTTTCGCTCTGAAACTAAAGTTTTGTCAATTCGTTTTACGTTTTCTAAAGCTTTAAACGAATACTTAGATACTTAACTATTCGTGTTTTCTATGAAATAAAAATATGTTTATAATTGTTAGTAAATAAAAATCCAAATGATTTGTTTTTGAAACGATGTTTATACCTAAATATAACTATAACTATAACTATATTTAACACAATTTATCTATTACAGGTGTACTCAGGAATGGACAATAACAATTATACACTTCTAATTCCATAATTTTTGTCTATCTTTAACTTATATAATAGACTTTATTATTTTCCAAAATTTTAGGAAATATTATATTTAAGAAACAATTAAAAATCGTCTTTAACCCTTGATAGTTATATTACTTTAATTGGGTGTAAAAAACACTTAATGTATGCCCTATGTAACTTTAAATTTGATTTTATTTAAAAAATTAGAATCTAACGAGATTTTATATATCTCCGTAAAGTACAGTGATATCCAGAAAACAATGTAATAGGAAGACGACATTTTAGAATTATTTGATGTTATTACAAAGAAAATAGTTTCACTAGACGCTTATAAAATTATTAATTTGGCGAAATGGGTATGTTTCAACTGTACAATTCCCGTGTTTCATGTCCATTAGACATTTTAAAGTTATACATTGATTCTAAAAGTCATCTTCATAATCCGGAGTTTTCAGGTTATAACGGTATGAAGTTTAAAAAATACAAAAAAGGAAAACAATATTTTGTAAATGAAAGTGTGCAATCTGAAAAGTAATTGTTAAAATTAAGTTGACGAATAAAGCTTCAACTGGTTCTAAAATCTAAAACGCCCTTTCAATTTACTCTCATGGCTACAGGGCACAAAGTGCACAAAAAGATTAGACTTTATTGACAAGTCAAATTTCAGGATATTACTAGTACAACTCTGCGACCTTATGGCTTCTCTCGTTTTGAATTCGTTCGTTCTTCCCATACACTATTACGTAAGGATTAATAATTGAAACCTTTCATCAAAATGTTAACGTTTTTTTCAATTCGACGACAACTTAACTGTTAACGTTTGGTAATGTTATTTGTTGTCTAAACAGTCAGGAGTTGGACAACGACCTTCGAGACAAACTTCCTAAAGGATTAAATATGACAGCTTACATTGCTGCAAGCTACGTCAAGTAAGTACATATGATTCATAATATATATCTATTGTTCAAAGAATTTTGACTACTGAGTACTAAGGATCGTCATGAGACGTGAAACATTATGTTTAGTATAATTCTTTTTTATTAAACATAATGTTTCACGTCTTATGAAGATCCTGAGTATATATATATATATATATATATAGACTTTGCTTCGGTGTTCGTTTGTTTGTATTCAATAAACGGCATACCAGTGGAACTAACGGGCCCATTTTTTTTAATTTTCGAAAATTAATATTCTTAATTTTCGAAAATTAATATTCTTAAAAATGCGCCAGTTTAGATTGATGAATACGCTACAATTTTGAAATGATTAAAATGGCAAATTAATCACATACAATTCGTTGCAGCCTTAGAACTAAAAAGCTTTAGTTTTTTATAAGGAATTGGTAAATTTTCATATATTTTTACGTGAGCGCTTGCAAAGACGTTGATAGGATTAAAGATAATTAGAAGGTCGTCTTATATTTCCCATGTTAATGGAACGCTCTTTACTTTAGATGGATTGAGAGTGGGGGAGCAAGGGTGGTTCCTGTCATTATTGGGAAATCTAAATCTTATTACAAAAAGGTAACTATTGACAGTAGTCAGTAGACCGTAGACAGCAGTGCTCAGTTTCATTTGCCATAATACTTTTGCCATAATTACTTTTGCCATACTTTTGAAAGTGTAACTTATGGCAAGTGTTACTTATGGCAAATGTATTATGGCAAGTGTAATAATGGCAAAAGTATTATGGCAAATGAAACTGAGCCGACAGCGGATAGTATACAGTAGACAGTAGATACGTAGTAGACAGTAGACAGTAGACAGTGGCCGGTAGGCAGTGGACAGTAGACAGTAGACAGTAGACAGTAGACAGTAGACAGTAGACAGTAGACAGNNNNGAGTTTACAGACTGGATTGAGGGTTTTTATCTATGATAATATTTTGTCCTAAGCTTTATAACACTGCGAACCAAAATAATGGTGTTTAAATATTTACAGTCATTTAAAAAAATCTCACATTTTCTTTCTATGAGTAAATATTATAAAACACATAAAAAGGTATGAAATTAGACATACAAAAATCTACATTTATGGTGTAAAACTGGGTTCTTGAGTTAAGACTCAATAGACTTTTAAGCAGGACCTTTAGTATATCGTGATATTTGCAATGATTCCCTTTAACTTTAAACTTCTCTCTTTCTTTGCCCAATAATAAAAGGGCCATACTGAGTTACACAAACACTATATCTAAGAAAGAAAACTTAATTTAATCCTGAAATCGTATTATTTTAAGAGTTTTAAGTCGTCTTCATAGTATCATCCTTTGTGGGTATTCCTGTATATGTTGTATATTTTCATTTTAAAGGATTTTTTATGAATTTAAATGACCACCACTCATTTTTGAGCAAAATTGACATGACAGTCGTTAATTCTCTTTCTGGCAAACAATATATTTGGACATTTGCTTGTTTTTCTAGTTTGAAGAAATCCTTGTTAAAACATGACTTTTTCATTTCATTTACAAATTGTTAATTATAATATTCGTGGTTTAGATATTATCATGATTGAAGAAAAAGACAGAAAATTTTTTTTTAGTTGCGGCTTATACTTTAGAGGAAGAGTGTCACTTCTTTGGTTACTGGCCTTCCTCCCCTAGAGAAGTGATAACCTTTCTAATCTGTATACGCAGTTTCCCCTCCCCTAGAGAAGTGATAACCTATCTAATCTGTATACGCAGTTTCCCCTCCCCTAGAGAAGTGATAACCTACCTAATCTATATACGCAGTTTCCCCTCCCCTAGAGAAGTGATAACCTATCTAATCTGTATACGCAGTTTCCCCTCCCCTAGAGAAGTGATAACCTATCTAATCTGTATGCGCAGTTTCTAACGGGCATGTTATAATTTTAATGATATTCAGGCAAATGACAATGGAGACTATTTTCCGATCTGGGGAACATGTAACGGATTCGAACTGTTGACCGTCATGTCAATGTCTGATGACCAGTCAAGACTTACCGAGTAAGTATTTTTTTTATAACAAAAGCTTTAGGATGAATCGATGTGCCAATGCATAAAATTAAATTGAAATGAAGTTTTTAAAAATTTCCTTTTTGTTACAAAAAGAATTATTTATAAAACTATTGCATAGATACTTTATACTTTTTTTAGTTTAAATGAAAATAATATTGATATCAACTTGTATTTTGTTTGTGCTTTGTTAAAACGATTTTTAAATCTAGAAATAACCATTTCATCAATAAATAAAATTACCTATTACACTATTATTATCATTGAGTTTTGGACAAAGAGAGAGGAAACGGAGAGGTGATGTACACAACCGACCTCCCTATATTAATTAATTAATAGAGTGGTCGCGCGGTTGTGTACATCACAATATGTTTACGTATCTAACACTGTAAATTTGTATATAGAGTAATCGTAATTCTTTGGGGTGGTAAAATGTAGTTAATTGAATATTTGTGTAGATAATTAGATAGACACTTAATATGGATTGTAAACACAGGATTGTATACTGAAGTACATTCCAGTTCAGTTGTTTGTTTTTGTTAATAAAGTATGACCAAATATTGCATCGTGAAAAAAGCACAAACAATTCTTCTTGTAAAAATGTGATTTTTTTTCCAAAAAATCAAAACACTGTGCATGGCTAGACCTTTTAAGTTTTGTAGACTCCACCTTATATCCCTAAAATTGTATTTGCTCAAACCATTTTAAAAAAGGTGATTTTAGTCCGTGGAAAAGACCAAGTTAGAGGGAAAATTCAATGCCGGGGGGGGGGGGAGAAGCCAATGCCTTGTTCCGCAATTTTCTATTACCTAGAATACATTTCATTTTTATTTCATATCAGATGTATTGACTAATTGAATATCCTGCTGAGTATCTAATACACACTTTTCTTGAAAAATTTTTCTTTATATAAACAGGGAAAAGATAAAAACTATCAATTCAATAAAATCCCCCCTAGAATGACGATCACACCATATACAAGTGTACAGTCTTAGTTACGTAAATATAGCGTGATGTACACAACTGACCGCTCTATTGATTAGTTAATAGGAAGGTCGGTTGTGTACATCTGAGGTGAACTTTACCTCTTCGTTTCCTTTATCTATGGCTTTGGACTTAAATTTTCTCTGTATCTCGCATTTTTAAATTATATTTTGCACCTTGCTCGGGACAAAATATAATCTAAACCTTTTTGATGAATACTATTATTATCATTATTATTATTATTTTTATTATTATAATTATTATTATAATAATTATTATCATTATTATTATTATCATAATTATTATTATCATTGGTTTTTCTATTGAATACATAGTTCAAGTACTTGATCTCTTTAACAATGAAACCAATCATCCAAAGTTGATTTTATGAATATTTGAAAAGAAATTATTATAGCTAGTTAAGAACTGTGTATACACATAATAATGATTTACTTAAAACTGCAACTGTAGATAATGTGATAAAAGATGCATCCTTAAAATATGCATTGTATTTCAATAGTAATAATTCTTTTGTTTCTTATCATTAGTGCTTATTTTGGTGCGGACCGCACAAAAAACGGATCCGGACCAAATTATTTAATAATATCTTGGAATTCAAATTTTTGCTTAATTTTATGCTGAAACTTGAAGAACCATGAAGAGTATGGTAAGGTTTTAATAATCTTTCACTTACCAGGAAACATTTTAACCGACTATATGTGTCTATGGCGAAGATGTCTGGTAAATAATTCTGAACTTTATATGTTTGACATCGGTTTTCATGTCCTAAGGTTGATCACTTTTTTATCAGGTTTTGATTGATATTTTACTCCTTGGATCCTCGTGTTTTTGTTCATAAGAATCCGAATCCTAAACACTCCTAATCATAAAAGAAACAAATCTGTGAAGCTAGAGACAAAGGAATTGAGTCTTTGTCACAAACTCTGATTTTCTAATTCCTATATCTTTGCAGTCCAATGTTGTAGACATTTGACATTTTAAACTATGACTTCTGTTAGATCAAATAATATAAGTTTGAAATATCAAAGGTTTACGACATTGGGTTCAAAAGATATAGGGATTAGAAAAACAGAATTTGTGGCAAGGACTCAATTCCTTTAAGTTTTTTATATTCCTTCATATGAATGTCGTCTTCCTGAGACAAAAAATCTCTTCCATTTTGTTCTAAAGATTTTTATTCCTTTAAAATTATCATCGCAGTTGCGATTCTGAAGACCAGGCTTTACCACTTAAACTTCGTGGAGAGTGGAGACAGAGTAGAATATATGGCAGGGTAAGATGTTTTTCCAAAATATATGAAAACGTTTAGTTTTTTTCCAAAACTTGTACAAGGGGTTTCAGCCAAAGTTGATAAAATATTTTTTTGATAAATAATAATATTTAAATCCCTATATTTTTTTATTTTGATGGCGTGAAACTTTGATATTTCAACCTTAGACGTACTATTTTATCTTAAAGAATTCGTAATTTGAAAAAGTAAAAGTCGACGACATCGGATTTCAAAGATATAGGGATTAGAAAATCAGAGTTTGTTGCAATTCCTTTACTGATTTTTCTATAATATTTTCGGCAGTGATAACATTCAAAGCGTTTTATAAAAATGTCTGCAGCAAGGCAGGCGTTTCTAAGCTATGAAAGGGTTGATTTTTTTTCTAAAATCTAGGTTAGCTTTAGCTCTTTTGCAAAAATGTATTTGTATGACAAATTTGATAATTAGTAATTTTTATATTTATTGACATGTTTTTCAAAAATATTTTGTAGCAAAATGTATGTTTAGATCCCAAAACACATCCTACGAGATCTAATCAAGGAAGGTTTCATTAATACAAATATTCAAATATATTTCTGCAAAACTTTTCAACCCGGAACTAAAAGGTTTGAATCCGACTGTAGTCCCTGTTCTGTTAGGTCTGTTAGCCACGAAGTGGGATTTCTAATCCTTATATCCTTATATAATTAGATATTTCAAACTGTGAATTATGTTATTTTAATTAATCTAAGTTTCAATTATCAAAGTTTTACGTCATCAGAATGGATTCGAAAATTTGTGTTTGGGACAAAAAGACTCAGTTTCTTTGCGTTGCAGCTTTGTGATTTACAAATTCGAAGAATATAAAAACGCTACTTTGGACCAGCGTGGAAGGAAATATGTAAAATATAACATTTTTTAACAAATTTATTAAATTCTATTTTGCTTCTTTTTGAATCTACATTTATCCCAAGGATGGTTTTTTGCAAGAAAAGGAATGCCTAAAGTAAAAATAATGTTTTTTCAAGGGTAATGAAACATTAAAATTTTTAATAAACTTAAATATTTATTAACTCAAACTTTGAGCTTTTTAATTTTGTCGCTTTTCTCATGAATAAATCTATATGCGCCAAATGCAAACTATGCACTTGGGCCTTTCAGTGCAGAGGAAAACAATGGAAATTGCATTTAAAATAGAGAATAAAGTTTTTACAAAATGATTTTACAAATAATAAATATGAAACTTTTTTAACTTTTTGCAATATTTTCCCAACTGTGGAAACCGTTATTGTTAAACAAAGCTTAAGGAGATATAAAAATAAATTCCCTGTACGTGATAAAAATAAAAATAAAAGATTTTACTGGGAACTGTCAGAAAGCTGACATTTTTCTGTTTTTAACCCTATTCCTGCTGGGGGGGGGGTCAATTTGACCCCCCCTGTAGTTTTTTTACATAGCTTTTTGGAAAGCCTTTGACATAAGGAAACAAATTGCACAAGTTTTGCGAAAAAAAAATTGCAAATTTTTTGCAAACAACCTGTCAAAGGAAATTTGCACATTTTTAGCTTTTCTTGATTAAAAATCAGTTTATTTAAAATTTTGCAAAAATTTTTGCATATTTGAAATGGCAAGGTCAAGGGCTTTTTCAAAAATGTATAATTTTTCATTTTTTGGAAAAAAATTTTTTGCAAACATTTTTACCATATAACTGGATTTTGCGATTAAAAATTCTATTTTTGCAAATTTGCAAATTTTTTTGCAGATTCTAAAAGTAGAGCACAAGAGCTTTCCAATGATGTATCATTTGTCATATTTGGACATCAAACATGGGATTTAGAGGGGGGGGGGGTCAAATTACCCCCCCCCCAGCATATCCTGGTTTTCAAATACCCCAGCAGAGATAGGGTTAAGAACCTTATATATATGCAGATGTTAAATGTATTTATATATATTTGACTTGTGTCTGTTTAATTGTTAAAGAGTTTATTCATATTCAAAAACCGTTAAAACGGTTCAACTGATCGGTCCCTAATTTTTTGTGCAACTCATGTTTTAAATGTTTTAAAAAATTGTGCAAGGCAAAAATGTTAATCTTTGAAATTTTTGGAAATCAATCAAATTAAAAAGATAAATCCACGAAATTTTTAGTTATCTAATAAAAACATAAAAGTTTAACTAAAACAAGGAGCGTGAGTCACTGAAACGGTTCAAAAGCTGTGTAAAATATTTGTTTAAATGATTTCAAAATGAAAATGAATATAGAAACCTGTCACAATCAACTTTCATCACTTCTGCCTCACTCCAACCAACTTTACTAAGTAAGTTTAAATTGTTCCCTTCTATTTGATGCTTCTATGAAGAACATTGGATTTTAACTGTCCTGAAAGAGAATGTTAGCTTAATTTCATTTGACCTTCCAGTTAAGGTTTTCAAACTTTTACCTTTTATATTGGTAAATTTATCTTGGAAAAAACATCCCCACACCTGTAATAGGTGTGGGGTTGTTGAGTTGAAATCGAAACTACCTGCTTTGTATGGTTAGACAGACAGAAAATAATGTCGTCTTTTATAAATATATCAAAGCTAAACAAGGGGCATCCCGTTTTACAAAAGTAACCTTTAAACCTATGACCGAAATGATTTCAAGCATATATCTTTTATTGATCTACTGAAGCGTTTTAAAAGTTTGCAAACTATTATATATTTAAGAAATATCAATAGTTTCTTTTTAAAAGCTAGAGAAAAGCAAAATTTACTTTCGAATGAAAACCGATTTTAACATAAATTTTTTTTAGAAGGACACGAGTAATTGAACCACTGTGTTTAGCTCAAACTATTAACCGGGGTTCAGAACGGTTTAACCGTTATTAACATTTTATCTCCTCGATAATCAGTCAGTCCAAGTTTTAAAGGGTAGCGTTAAAAATCGGGCATTGCCTTCTTTGCCTGAAGGTCACTATGAATTACACTTTAATTCAGATTTGTTTGACTAAGAAATATTGTCTGGATAAAAAAGTTAAGTATTATTTCTTTATGGATAAACCTTATCCTTCATTTTATGTTTGGAAGCATTCCCTCTCCTTTATTTTTTATGTGCACATTGTATACAGTAATAAAGTGTTATCGGAACATTAGTGTTTGAAGATAGAAGGCGTTAACTTATGGTTTGGTGTTGTATATTTAATTTTAGATTTTAAATTCTTCATATTTAGTTTCATTCTGGCAAATGATAAATGCAATTCTTCAAATAAAAGTCTGCAAAAGTGTGTTGCTGACCATAGGAGATAAAAGAATAATTGGTATTTTTTTAGATTCGGAATGGAGCGCTTTTGGAATGCTTTATCTGTAAATAGAGATATCTATGATTTAGAGTATATTTCAACCATAGAGGTAAAATAATAATTAGAGATATTTATTTTTATCCATTTGTAGGAGTACAGTAAGATGTTAAATGTAAAATGTATTCTAGGCTCGAAATTATCCGTTTGTCGGAGTACAATTTCATCCAGAAAAGAACATTTTTGAGTGGAGCGAGAAGGAACGAAATATTCCTCATAATGAGTAAGTTTACGACATATTCTAATTCAAGTAAATTTTATGTAAAATTTAAATTTACACGTTTTCATTTTCTCTTTCTAAAGATCTATAAAAAAATCCCCCCCCCAGCAGGAATAGGGTTAACAAAATTCAATAAACCTAGTTAACAATTACTATCATTGATTTAATTATTGTTATTATAATTGTTGTTTCTATTATTATTATTATTATCATTTTTTTTATTATGATTATTATTATTATCATTATTATTATTATTATTATTACTATTATTACCATATCCAGAGCTGCTGTAAATGTTGGAAGTTACTTTGCTCGTTATCTGGTAAATATGGCACGGCGTAGCTTCCATTCTTTTGAAACCAGGTGATGCTATGTCAGATTAAAAAATTATTATATTTTAAAAATGTTAAGATCAGAATTTTCGTGTGAGTTTTGTTCATCTTGATTGCTTGTTCTCGATGATACCTCAATTAAAGTTATCCCTACAGGATTTCACCATCACGGAATATCGAAAAGGAATCATACTAATCAGTAGATATGCATAAGATCTACTGATCTCACAATATCCTGACTTCTGTACCGTTTTAAAAGAAAAACAAAGAAACATTTACATAATTTCCATTTAAAGATTGGTGAATTTCTGCAGCATCACATCGGACATGTAACTATAGCTATACCTTGCGGCTCACTTAAAATCAGATTCTAAAATGTTGCCGCGTTGAAGGAAATCACTTAATTCCAATGTTTGTTGGTCTACCCTGTATGTTCTCAAAGCAAACTCCGAGTTAATTTATAGTGCATCCATTAATTACAATAAAGTTTTCTCTATAAATTCTCTAATTCCCCTGAATTATTCAATTCTTTTGAATTAAATTAGTTTTATTAAAAAGTTATTTAAAATTCGTATTTTTGTTCATACGTGTCATTCCAAATCACTGTTGCTTTTCTGCTTTATTTTCCTGTTGTCAAAATTAAAATTATAAATTTTGCTTTGATTTCGTTCGTTCTCAAATTATCATTCAGTTTTCATCTATTTCATTCGTTTTCTCACTGAAATTGTTCGATGCAGTAAAAAATTGATTTGAAAAGGTTTGATAGAAAAAATTGTTCGTTCGTTTTTTCAAAATCTTTCGAAATATTCGTTTGTTTAGTAAAAAAATTTAACGAAATGGTTCTTGAACGATCAAGGTAATTTTTTGTCCGTTTTTAAAAAACGATAGTTTTTTTCATTTCTTTAAACGATCCAAGTCATTCGTTCATCGTTTTTTCTCTATGAACGACACCATTGTTCACGAAAACTTCCGTTCATTCTCAAAAACGTTGTTTGTTAAACGCGATGCCGATCTCTAGACTTATTTGTTCTTGGTCATTATAATCAAAAAGGAAAATAAACTTTTGTACACAATAAAAGGGTGTTAAAAAAAATCAACCTTTTTTCTCTCAGAGGCTTAATTATTACCATTATTACCCGATCATAATGAAATTAATATCGCAATGTCGAGGTCTCTGCGTTAGGACTTATCGGATTTGGTCAACCCTGCTTTAAATTAAGGCTTTTTATCTTTTGAATAGCCATGCACTACATTCCTCAGTAAACAGAAAAAAAAATACTTTACTTATGAATAAGATAAGAGTATTCATCTCTGGCTTCTATATCTAAATCGGCGACACATGATACATTGTTTGAAAAGGTAAAGGGTAGATTGGGTTTTTTGTCTTGGCTTTTTTACCCTTAAAACATTAGTCTGCATAATATGATTGAGTCATTCTTGTTTTTCTCCCTAAAAGTTTATAGTCCATTTAATTATTGTTGTATTGTAGTTTGGATGAAGAATATGCTCTGATCTACAACTATCAGCCTCTCTACTCGGAAAATCAACAAGTTCACATGACCTTTGAACAAATTTATCTCTTCTAGACGGAAGTTGAAAAATAAATATTTATTTAAATGCTAAGTTTTAATTTAAAATTCATGTCTCAAATTATATCAAAGAACGTATAGCGTCCATACAAATTCAGAAAGTTGCAACACACGACTCGGCTCATAAAAAATAAATTTAATTCCAAACAAATCATTCAGAAATTGCAACCTATATTCATAGGTAATTTTTCGACGCATTTGGATATAACTGATATTTCATAATTTTTTTTGATTTTTTAAAAATAATATTTAACTTACAACTTGTTTTCGCGGCTGGCGCTGGATTTTCGAATATCCCTGAAAAAAATTGAAATGTTGTCTTCATTATCAAAAATACTCGAAACAGGAATAAATGTTTTTCTCCATAATTTACACTGTAGCGCTAATTTTGTTAATTTTTCAGCTTAATGATTGAACACACTTTTGCCATATTTTATTTTGCAAGGACGGTCAAACGGTCAAATAAAAAGTCCATAACTTTCATACTACTTAAGCAACAGATATAAAATATATGTTTTTAAACCCCTAACCTTTCTAGACCTAAATCCCCCCCCATACGAAAAATGACCAAATCTTGATAGGGTTAAAATCCTAATATACAACAATCATTTAGGAAAATGTGGGGGGAAGGCTACTAAGAAATTTGCCATTTAATTATACCTCTATTGATTTTCGATCATCTTTAAAACCATCTTTGAGTAAAAATCATTGCATTGTAATCTTAAAAGAGTATATTCTAATAAGATTTAACTGTGTCTAACTAAATTTCTAACTGGTAGACTAAGTATTCAACGAAGTCAAAACTTGTGTGTACTGTTTTGAATCTCGGGATCAAATAATGATCTATACCTTTTGCGGATTAATTTAATTCGTCTTGGATATATCATAGTGGCTCAATTAACTCTGATTTAAGGATTAAGCAGTGATCCTTAAATTTAAAAGTTCCAACATTTCAAGATTACGGATAATCCGACCTTTATCTTGAAGGTTTTTTTCTTGCTTGCAACGATGTATTGCTATTAATTTCGCATCAAGCGAACAAATTTCTAGGTTGAGCTTGGATTAAGCTTAAATAAAACTGATACTGGTGTTTATAAGAAGAATGAGACTTTAATAACTTTAATAAGGATGTGACTTTAATAACTAAAAAGTCTTTACAGTATTTTGTTAGTTGCAGGGAGTGTCAGACAAAAGAGGAAATAATTCTATATAATCGTCTCAGGGTCACGCGTCGGAAGAAGCCTTCTTTTTTGGGTAACTCTGTATATGTTTGTTATTAAAAATATAATTCTTTGGGTCCTGGGAAGTGTATTGATTTTTCAGAATTAATTATTGGATATCTGGGGTGTATTCCCATAAGACTCATGTACACAAAAAGAAATGAAAAAAATACATTTTGGTGTCATAATTGATTCCATTATAATAGGTTCATTTTCACTGAATACATCTTTATTTCAATTATTTTCTCACAAATTAATTGATTACTTTCCTCAAACTTTAATATTTTCATCTACAATATTTAAAGAAGAAAACAATTGCTTACCAGAATACCATATTTGGAATAATCAGAACAAATTTGGAATAAATTGCATGTTTTGGTTGCGTTTTAAGTTTAAAAAATACACTTCTTGATTAAATCGAACTAAAAAAAATGTCAAAAGAACTGAGTTCTTGCCAAAAAAAGTGATTGTTTAATCCGTATATCTTTTCAATCTATTGTAATATACTTTGATCGTTCAAACTGTGAATTCTGTTAGATCAAAGATCAAATAGTAAAAGATTGAAATGTCAAAAGGATACACCATAAAGTTACAAAATATTGGGATTATAAAATTGGAGTTTGTGGCAAAACTCAGTCAAAAAGTTTGACCAATAATGTACGAACTGTTTTCCGTTTAAAACGGTTTAAGTTAAAACAGAATTAGTAAATGTACGAGAGTTATAAATGATTTGTAAAAGAACAGTGTTTCCTATAAATACAACTAATTGCAAGATTATTCAACACAAGTTTTATTTTCGTGGCAAATACAATTTAATGATCTATAAATTACAAGTTGCTATCCTCACTGAAATTATTTTGAGCCTCCTCATCGACATCTTTGGCGGAATCATCATCATCATCAATTTCATAAGTAGCAGAATAGCAATACACAGCAGCACCAGAGTAGTTGGTGGTATTATTACTAATGCAACTCAAATCTTGCTCATCTAGACTTTTACAGTTTAGCAGTTTGTCATCTATTGATATACTACTTAGATCAAGAGGGTCTAAGGTGTTTTCACATCCGTGCTCTTCACTTACTGATGTGCCCCAATTGGCTTTTTCCAAAACAGAATCCGTTGTGATGACTTCATCAAGTAATTTTTCCTGTACATTTGTCTCAGCACTTGAGTTTAATTCACCATGAACACATTTTGCTTCAGATTTTTCATTCTCAAACGATAAAGAGAAGGTTTCTCTATGATTGTAGGTTAATGATGTTCTACTTGATAGGTTATGTTTTATATTTTCAGTATTGCAAGACGCACTAGGTTTTTCTGAATTATCTAATATCTGGCAGGGTTTTAGTTCATTTTTTCTCTTAACCTTTTTAGACCTTACGCTCCAAATGGCTCTTCGATGCGAACTTAACTTGCTCTCTTTTTCCTGTCCAATTTGTTTATCTTGGGCCTGGTTAGGTTGAGGGGCTATCTGATTAGCTCTAAACCAACATTCCGGTGACACGCTTTGTCCATCTCCTTCTTCCCTGAAGCTAGCAGGACGTGCCCTTATTTTAGATATTTGTTGATTTTGATAGAAACAAATGGTATCCACACCTTCTTGTGACTCTTCTGGTATTTTCTGATAGCTTATAACACTGTTATCATCAAGAGAAGTAAAGTTATGTGAGTCAAGACTACGGCACTTAGATGCAAGCAAAACATTTATGTTGCATGTTGACAGAACAAGATCTTCTTTCGGATCCAGTTTCTGGTTTTTTACGGGGGTTAATGATCTATCATTTGTTGATATGGATTCACAATTGGAAGTTTCATTTCTATGGTTTTTGTTGTGCTTGTTTTTAGGATTCGTCATATATTGCCTTCTAGATGATTCAGTGCTAAGTGATTTGCCAGTTATTATTTTTTTCATAGGGTTGCTTTCTTGGGGACTTTTCTTTGAACTGTTTTGATTTAATGTTGTATTGTTTACAAAAGATTGTTTGAGAAATCTTCCACTATAGCTTAAAGGAGAGGCATGACAGCTTAGCTCAACTGGGGTATCCATTGAATAAGCCTTTTTAGAATAGCTCATCTTTCTTTTTAATTTATTAAACCTCATTCTCTGATCTTTTTCACTTTCGCTTCTAGTTACCATTCGTTGGTGGCGTACAGCATTGGACTCTTTGCAGTTGTAGCACAGTGTTGGTCTGTTGGGATAATCATATTGGGCCTTATTTTGTTTCCTTGGTGGGTCAGCGTTAAAATTGTTAATTTCTAACATCGGGTAGCTTTCACTGAGGAATATGGTTGTCTGGTATTCTTGAATATTGGTTGTATCACAATAAACCGCAATATCTTCACAAGTTTCTGTGTTTTTTTCAGTCTCTCCCTCATCTGGACCATCACATCTTTTAACATTGATGAATAAACTAAGAGGAATTTAAAAATATTTAGGGGAGTATCTTGAAATCTAAAAGGAAGGACTTTTAAAACTTAAATTAAATCGAAGATATATCAAACTTAGAAATCATATTTGACAATTGTTAAACCAGAACTGAAAAGTATGAAGTTAAGTTTAAGATATCTTATCATGAAACTTTAATTAAGGTGCCATCAATTCCTTGGCAGGTTACGTCCTCGTCTCCTAGAAGCCAACTCAAGCCTCCGCTCTCTGAAACAATTTACTAGAAAACATAAATGTTTTATGTTGAAGGGTTTTGTTCTGGTATATTTGGTGAATGTTAAATGTTTGATTTACGATGGTATCTGTTAAACATTTGTGTGCGGAACAATTATGTATGTATAGAAAGAGGCCTGCGGAAGTTTGCAGTAGAGACACGAAGAGAGTTTTTTATCTTTTTTTTTCTTTCTTTAGCAAAGGAATTGAGTCTTTGGAACAAAATCAAATATTTAAACCTAAATATCTTTAGAAATCGATGTTGTAAACCTTTGATATTTCAAACTCAAATTATTTGATCTAACAGAATTCTTAGTTTGAAATATCTAAGGTCTGCAACATTTGAATCCAAAAATATAGTATTTAGAAAATCAGAGTTTGTGGCAAAGACTCAACTCCTTTACAGATCATAATAGGTTTGGAAGAGAGATAATATATTTATTTATAACAAATTTCCATATCATAATAGGTTTGGAAAACAGATAATATATTTATGTAAAACGAATTGCGGAGTTCTCCGGAATAAAGAACGTCATACGCCACTCATACATGGAAATATTATTTGAATATATTTTCTCGGAAGAAATATTTCATATTTCATATTTTTATTCAACTACAAAGCACGAGATAATACAAATAAAAAAATCTGACACATTGGGGCCAATACAGGGTCCTGAATATAAAAATAAAATATAAAATCTATTTTAACATTAAACTACTGTAGAGTGTAGATCTTTCATTTTTCTTCGAATTGTTTGTTATATGAAAAAATTTAAAAAACAATGCGGTGAACTGTTTTTTTTTTAAATTTTCTTATATTTTGTAATCATAGCGAATTCCGAAATATTCGGCAAAGGAATTGAGTTTTTGTCACAAAATCTGATTTTCTTATCCCTATATCTTTTCATTTCAATGTCAGAGACCTTAAATTTCAAACTATGAATTATTTTAGATCAGACAATAATAGTTTTAAATATCAAAGGTTAACACCATCAGATTGCAAAGATATAGCAATTTGAAAATCAGAATTTGTGGCAAAAACTCAGTTCCTTTATTATGGTTTACAGAAAAATCCTGTTCTCTTTACATATTTTACATCCAGATAGAAATATGTTTTCTTAATCAAATAATACTGATGTTTCTCAAAGGGACTATTAGCGTAATTTCAAGTGGCCTTTCATATAAAGAGGTGCTTCCCCGATTAACAAGTTACCCTATAAAAACCCTTTGACGGATCAAGGATATTAATCTAATGGACCGCTTTAAACTGTTTAACACATTCTAGAAGTGGCAGAAAATTAATATTTTCTTTTGGGTGTTTAAAACAGTTTGTCACGTTAAAAAGACGATTTTTCATTAGACGCTAGCAACGGTATCAGTTGTTTCGAGTTAAAGCTGCAATCAGCGCACATTGAAATATATGTAAGAATACAAGCGGTTTTAGGAGTTTACACACAAAATCTCTAAACTCGATGAATTTTCAACGGTTTAACCCTATTCTCAGACCAATACTTTTTGAGTTATGTAAAAAAAACTACAGGGGGGGTCAATTTGACCCCTCCCCAGCGGGAATAGGGTTAAAGGGTACCATTGTAAATCGGGCATTGCACTCTTTTTAGAGTTATTAATTTACAAACTACAAAAGTTGACCCACTAAACTTGGAATCTCTAAACCAAGCTAAGAACCTTCCCGTGGTTCTACCGATTTCCCCGAAATGTAAGACAAATCGGTTCTGGGGTTCCTGAGTTGTGATAGGACAACCACACAGACAAACAACTTTAAATATATATACTAGCTTGGGGACCAAGCATTGCGTAGTGTAGGGAAGTTAGTCCCATCATTTGCCTGCACCTGGTTGTAAATCACGAAATAGCTATTTTTCCATATAAAAGTTGTTCCACTTTACTTAGAATAATGAACTAAGCTAAGAACATTCCCGTGGTCCTACAGAGCTCCCCAATCAAAAATTGAGGCAAATCGGTCCAGTGGTTTCTAAGTTATGATCGGACAAACAAACAAACAAACCAGACAAACAGAGATTACGACTTTAAATTTATATATAGATATGGACAATAGGATGTACAGAGTGATAGCCAGAAAACTCTGAAGTAGAAAGACGACTTTTAGAATCGAGTTATAACTTTAAAAAGTTAAATGAGTAAAAGAAACAGCGATTTTAATAAATTAGTGATTTTATAAGTGTCTAGTTAAACTGTTTAGACACTTAAGTATTGCTGTATGTGTCTTCGTCCTATTCTATTGTTGTATGCATCATCAGTGTAGTTGAAGAAAAATAGTTTGTTTTATCATAAGAGAATCAATGATTCTTGAAAGAAACATTCCTTTTAAATATGAAGTAAACAACCTTGCACTTTGCATTTTAGACTAAACCCTGTTTACAGAAGATTACTGTCTGGTTCTATATATCAGAATATCAGCTCAACTTTACATCAACATCATTTTTAGATAAAAAACAGAATATATCTAAAATATAAACATTTTACAGGATTACCCACAAAAATGAGACGTTAAAGGGACTGTAAGCGCAATTTTTAAGTAAGTACAAAGATTGCAATGTCCGATTCACAATGGCACTCTTGAAGCTTTGAAGACGACTTTTTTTACTATAGTTGGCTCCCCCAGAAAATGCGTCAAATTTGCGTAGATTTTCTGATGCGCTATCTTTAGGGTAAATTAGGTAATTTAAAAAGCCCCATTTTAAGCCTAAAGTGAGGGCATGTGCTAGTTAGGAAAGTCAAAAAAAAATTATTAATGTCCAAGAAACGTTAAGGGGGGGGGGGGACCCCCAACCCAACTGGAATAGGTCACATATTTATTGGTACATATTTTCCAGACTTTCTTCGCGTTAAATTAAAGCATATTTTAAATTAAGGTTGTTTGTCTCATATTTCTGTGTAAAATGAAAACTAGAAAAGCTACGAAGTTACAAACATCCATATACGGGGTGTCCCAAAAAACATGGGAATTCAGTGACGAATTCGATATCGTCATTTTAAATAATTCTTTGATTTAATATAGTGATACCAACTGAGAAAACTGCAATCTGTAAGAGTTTAGTCTGCTATGTTTACATTTTGTTTGTTTATGTTTTGACTGCATACGGTTGTACTTAGTAAAACAAGAAAATTGCAGTATACAAACAGAGAAAACTTGTCCGTCTTCACTGTTCATCTTGCAGAGACATTATAGACACATCTTTACTCAAAGAAACTTCCTTTTTGCAGCCTACCTTATTCAAATTATTTAGTTCTAACCCGACCCCACACTAACCAATTTTGTTGATTTAACAATCAACAGTATAAAAAAATAACAGAGCGGTTAACTATAGGGTTTCCAGCGCAAGTGGATTTTACTTGCGCGCAATTGCGAGCCCTTGCGCGCAAGTGAATTTAATTGCTCTCAATTCCGTAATAATTGCGCGCAAATGAACGCAACGGAATTGCGCGCTGTAGCGCGCAATTTTGTCCAACTTTCTTGCGTTGTGTTTCAACTTTTTGATAAAATTCAATTTAAACCTTATGGAACGCAATAAATGCAATTAATTATTTCGCAATTCCTTTCAACAACAAAATATTCAATTTAAACTTAGGTAGTGGCATATAATAGACTGAATTTCACTAACATTTCAGTCTCAAATGCAAAGAAAATTGAATTTAAACTTAATATTTTGTTTTATAATATTCATTTGCAGCATGATAACGAGAAAAATATGGCATAGGAAGAATAAATACAGTTTAGACTCAATAAGTGATTAAAAAAGTTTCTAATTAATTTTGTTCGACTTATAATGTAATATTAAATACACTGTGATATTGTCTTTGTGTTCCGTAGTTTTCTGGTTCTCACTGTAGCAAAATATCTAATTTTGATTAAACGAACCTTACAATTTTAACCAAATAAATTTCCATTTTAATGTTTATCCAATGTTAACAAATATAAAATGTATCATATTAAATTATTTATTAGTAGCTTAACCACAAGAAATTTTAAAATTTGAAAACTGTAGAACCAAGTGACACTCCATGGCCTCGATTATTTTAAAATCAACAGAGATATTTAATTCCATTCTTGTATCTGCTGCATAAATTTGTAAGTATAACATTTAAAATTATTGATTTTTAGGTATGAAACCAATTTCGATGCACGGAATTCCACGCAATATTTAATTGCTTCCTTTTTCGCAATTTCAGCGCAATTGCGCGCAATGAAATGGCGCAAGCGGAAGCAACCATTGGATGCAATTCCTCACAATTGCGTGCAACAGAATTCCGATTGGAAACCCTAGTTAACCATCGTCAATGATCAGTGCTAGAAATAGTATGCAATCGTTAATTCGAAAACGAAACGAAAATGGATCCAGCTGAAGGCCGGTGCCCGGTACTCATTAACGAACATGATTGCAAAAATCAAGAACATATCAAGACCCTCTGTAGATTGCAGTTCTTTTAAAGTACCAAAGCAGGCTTCCCTGTCACTAAAAATTGCAACGCCGGATAACATATTTCCTTCTGATGATACAGAGACCTGCTTTTGTCGAACACCATGAGGAATTCTAGATTTTTTCAGACTTCTTATAGCAGACACAGCCCAAGTCCAAAATGAGTCAACTCCTAAATAAACAAAAAAAAATACAAGAATCTAAGAGACTGCATCGGTGTGTATATTCAAGTGATCCTTTATTTCAGGAGAATACCTTATTTATCTTCATATTCACTTACACCTTTATCTAAAAAATAACGTGAAATATATATACTGTCTCATTTTTCAACCTTTTAAAAATGCATTGTGTTTAATTCTGACAATTTCCTTCATGCACTGTCTCAGAAATCCTAAATTGACAATAATAGATTTTCTAATTTAAAGACTTTAAAATTTAAAATATACTGTTTTGAATCGGACATGACATTAAATGTTTTGCATTGTATTCAAACCATTTTTTCCCATGTTAAAGAATTCCTAGAATATTAGCTCTAAATTTAGAATGCTGAGTTAAGATAAATCAAATTTATTCCTGAGAAATGTGTTTATGACCTCAGAGAAAAGATCTGATTTAAACATTTTACAATTGGGGCTCCCAAAGGCACAACTACAGGTTTACGAGGTTGAAATTGGATAAAATTAGAGAATTATGCCTTTTTGTTCGGAATAATTGGGATTTCTAAGTTTTTCCCTAGAAACTTACAAAAGAGAAATTCTTATTTGATGCATTTTATTTTTGTATATGTAAAATATAAACCTGTATTTCCTTCATAAATCATTATTAAATGGATTATATAAAAAACTTTATTATCATTATCACTTCTTTTTACTATAATTTTCATTATCATCATAACTATTATTGTTATTATTATTATTATTATTATTATTATTATTATTATTGTTATTATTACTTTTATTATTATTATTACTATTATTATTATTATTATTATTATTATTAGTATTATTAGAATTATTATTATTATTATTGTTATTTTTATTATTATTTTTATAATTATTATTCTTATTATTATTTTTATTATTATTACTTTTATTATCATTAATAATCTTATTTATCTATCTTATTCTAACCTGACATTCCATTTTGGGATCGGTTTAAACTCTCAGCAGAAAAATTAAGAATATCCCTCCAAACTTGCCAAAACCTATATATAAAACATTACAGATTACTTTTATTTGAAGTGATACTGAAATGGAAAGAACAGGTGATAGGTACTTTCCCAAATGCATTTTCCCAAAGGCGACTTCCCAAGTGACAACTTCCCAAATGTCCAAATTCCCAAGCGGCAACTTCCCAAAGGTTAGGTTAAGCACTCTCAGGTGCTGCAGGCTGTAATGGGTGACAGCGTTGAGGCTAGGATGGGCAAGGGGGCTGAGCTCCGTGGTTAGAACAGGCTTGGGGCCGAGTGCTGCGGCTAGGACATACTAGGGAATTTGCCGCTTGGAAAATTGTAAATTTGGGATGTTGCCACTTGGGAAAATACCCTTGGGAAATTGCCATTAGGTGTTAGGGAAAAATCCTTTTGAAAAGTATCTAACATCTATTCATTCGATGTTTGATCCTTTGAAAAATTATGTCTTTTGCATTGGTGATTTCTTGCATTGTCAATGAGATGTTAAAAGAATTTTTGAAGTCCCTGAAGTCGCTCATGCCCATATCTTTGGCGTTTGCGGATCTAATTTTATCTTTTTTCAATTGTTAGAGTTTAGTGTAATATACAAACAATTAGTGAATAACTTTTTTAACATTTTTTTTTATTTTAAAGGTTCTGAAACAATTATTTTATTTTCAAATAACTTTCCTTACAATTAAGCCAAAGTTTACTCCAACGCAAAAATGGTCGTGTTAGCATATATATATAGTATAATCTCTGTTGGGTGTATGTATATTTGTTTGAATCTTCGATCTTAACTTATTGTCCACTTGACTGCTAAATAAAAGAATAAAAAAGCTTACATTTAAGGATTTGATAACAGTGAAACTGCTGAAATGATTAATGTTTATTATTGTTGCCTATTTTTGCATATTTTTGCAAAACTTTAATATTCACAAATATTCTAAACAAATTTAAAAAAGATACATCCTTAATATATAGTATGTATTTATATGTATCGATGAAACAAAATAAGTTTTTTTAACAGTGTTATACACTGCAAATAATTTTGATTTACCTGAAGAGCGAATATAACCAGATTGAGAGTATAAATGCAATAATCAACAATTCCTAAACATCCAAAATATACATCCCATTAAAAAGGTATAATATAGAAAATCTACATTTGATGGTTATGAAAATGGGTTCTAGATTTCGGACTCATTGGACTTTTGAACAAAGTTCTGAGAGTTATTTTTATTTTATCATTGAATTTTCAATTATGGAGTTATAAAAACGACTGGCAGATTCATGCGGCAGAAATAATGCAAATTATTTTATTAATTGCAGATTTATTTTTGATTTATCGTATTTATTTATATATATACTATTATCAGATTAAATAGGTTTTCAGGGTAACAGGGTATCTGCTATGAAACTCTTTTAATGGAGGGTAATTTGGAATCACACAAATAATTAATAGTTACTTGATGTGGTTACCAAGCAAATAGTTCATTGCACTATTAAAAGTCAATAATAATAATTAAGTCTAAAATACGTATTTCTATTGCAGAGTTTTCTGGTTATCACTGTGCTTTCCTCAAATTCTCAAAGTTGCGTTTTTTGCTGGAAGCACTTTTATTTGAAATATGTGTTTTACCTTTATTGAAATGAACCCTCAGCATTATTTGATATTTATCGTGGACTATAGTTACTGGGAAATGTTTTATTTATTGATTTCCCATGTTTGCTCACATTTTTATACATTGTACAACAGTGTTTAGTTAAAACACTACACACAAAATACTTACATATTAATCAATTTTTCATAGAGAAAACAAAATATTGAATTTTTCAATACAAAGACTGTGAATTATCATGCACTATGAAAGATCTGCCATAATGCAACAATTGAGTGCCATTTTTATATATGTTCAAATATCTTTAGTTCCCAAAATCAGAGACAATTTAGTTTTGTTGACATTTGAATCAAATTTGTTTTCAACATGAAGAAAATTTGCTGTCTAATATGACATTTTTTTTCTTCATAATACTTCTTATTTTAAAATGAATCGTTTTTTTTAATTTAAAAGAATAAAAGATACAATAAAAGATAAATGCCAAATTGTACAAAATTATTATTTATATTGGGTTAACTTGGGGCCTCTGAACTAGGGTTTCAAATCGAAATTTTTTGCATGAAAATCGTGCAATATTGCGTAAAACTTTTCTTACGTTTTGAGTAAATATTGCACAAAATTTTAAAATAATTTTGCATTGATGCGCAAAAGCTATTTTGTGCAAATTATGAAGAAAATCTTGGTTTTTGCGCCTTCGTTATTTCTGCTATTTCGTTATTTCGAGATATTTCGTTATTTCAAGCTATTTCGTCATTTCGAGCTATTTCGTTAAATTTCGAGAAAAAATTCCAGGAAATCAATGAATCTAAAATTAAACCAATCAGAGCCCTACTTTACTCCGGCTTGCTCTCATCTGCACATTTGATGGTGGCCTTATTTCTAGGCTTTTAAATCACCATTTAAAATTAAGACAATTTGGTACATTCGATAGACAAACAAACAGACACACAAACAAGAGAAATGTATACAAATCTACATAGATTAATGATAATGTTAGATGAGACGCACATCCAGTGGCACCTTTTCAGCGTTTTTTCAAAACTTATTTATCATAAAATAATTTTAGTAACGAAAGTAACTAACATTTTTACTGTGTCCAAACTATAGGAAAGGATAATAATGAATTGTTGTTCATGAATAAAATACTGCAGATATGGATGTTGTTTTTTACTGAAACTGATTCACATCACACTGTCAAAATATTTAAATCTTTTATATTTGTGCAATATGTAATGAAACAAATATTACTTATTTTCGTATTCATCAACAATTTCATGCAGAAAAAAAATATTTATTTCGGATGAATGCGCAATTTCGTGCAAACCTTTTTTCGTATTGATACAAAAATGATGCAAAATTTTGTGCAAATAGGTCATTTCGTGCAAAAACGCGAAACCGTTGCGCACTGTTTCGTGGAAACCCTACTCTGGACCCTCCCCGCCTGGAAAGGGGGATCCCAGGACCATGAATCGTTAAATTATTATTGTGATTTTTAAATTAGGAACTCCACACAAACATGATCATTAGACAAATAAAATTCTATGAATTAACTTTGTTACCTTAAACCGAAATGTATTCTGAGACAAGGGAGAGTGAGTCCAGTTTCTATAATTATAGTAAAATGAGAAAAACATATTTTAATCAAAGTAAAGAATTGTTTACTTATTCAAGAGACCGTTGACTTAATTTCAGTTTAAAAAGAGGTTTGCAGGATTCACAATAGTAACTTGCAAACCGTGTTCCAAGCAATAAATGTCAAGCATCTTTGTGTTTTAATATTTTTATTTAAAAATCAATAATTTTTATTTTGGTATTGCTTGAATGTGACTTTCGGATTAATGCAACTGAATAGAAGAAAACAATTAATTGCAAACAAGAGAGTTATGCCCGATTAAAAGCAGAAATCTTTAAACCTTCCTCCTTCTGTCTAAAAATTCATATTTTTTTGTGGTTTGTCTATAATTTCTTTTTTCATGCTAGATAAAAATTTAAAGCGGACTGTTGTGAATTGGACTTGCAACTCTTTATAAATATGTAAATATACAGGGTGTCCCAAAATACCTTAGGGGTACAGTAGGGTGTAGTAAAATGGGATTATTATCATTTAAATATATTCTCAGCTAGGTGTAATCTTTCTTTAAGGCTGGCAGTTTTGGTGTTAACTGTGCTTGTTGGTTTACTCTGATATTTATCTTTTTATTATTATATAGATAGATTTCTATATATATTTACTTTTGCTTTTACATTCTAAAAGCTTGAATGTTGAAATCTGAACCTAAAATGTGGAGTTTGTAAAATCAATAATCTTTTGCTTTTGTATTTTTATAGGAATTGCAGGATGGAATAATAATAATATATGAATAATGGAATTCAAGATGTGATTAATTGGATATTAAATAAAATTATGTTTTTGTGAATAAAGATAGGAATAGAACTGATTAAAAAGGGAAACTTGAACCCTAAAGGGGCATTCAGTTGAAGACTTGAGACAAGTCAAGATCTATTTTAAGAGACAAACCTTTCATTCCTTGTTATTATATTCTATTGAGAATAGAGGGATCTTATAGAAGTGTTATATTTGGTCCTAACACTACATTTGGTGGCAGCAGTGGGATCTGTTGAACTGATAGACCGAGAATTGAATTAAATAAGGGGATTGGTCTGGAATAATCAAGCTGAATCATGGCTGTAGATAATCAGCAAGATATGAGAAGAGAGCTCCAAAATGCACTTTGAAGTGTGCCAATTTTTAATGAAGATGGAGGAAATATCGGTAGTTTCCGAAACCATTTGCATACTTTCCAGCTTTAGATGGTCTTGAATGGAATAGAAAATGGTGTCCATCAAAAATGTGCTTTGATATACAGCATTCGTGGTAGGAGTCAAGATAGAGTGGCTCATCTTTTTATTGCAGCTGGAGAGGAAGCTCCAACTTTTGCTGTTGTTGAGCAGACTAAAAAGCAGATTTTCTTGCCTGAAGGGGAAGTGCAGTTATCAAAAGTAGAGTTCTGATTGAGAAAACAAGGATTAGATGAAGATTTTGGAACGTTTTTCTCCATTAAAAGTTCCCTCTTCTTGGAAGCCTATCCAGAAGGGACAGAGTTTAGCATTTTTTTTTGGATCATTTGATAACAGGCTTGTACAATCCGGTTGTAAAACGGTTGTTGAGAAAATCTGACCCAACAAATATGGAAGAGACTCCGCAAAATCTTTTGCGGATAACCGCTTGCGAGAGACAATCAGTTAGTGAAGGATATGGAGAATCAACTTAGCACAGCAGCCTAAGCACTGTCTTAAGTGTCATAAATCTGGACTTTTTCAAAGAGATTGTAGAAATCAAAAGAAGAAGACCGCAGGGAAAGTGGTGAGAAACGTTGCCACAGATGTGGTCTTCAGGGCCATTTGAAGAAACAATGCTGGGTAAATTTAGAGAAACAGAAGAAAAAAGAAAACTCTGCCAGAACAGGAAAAGTCCAAGCATTCCAAAATGATGAAGAAGGGGATCCTTGCTGCCCTTGGAATTAATAAAATAGGATCGGGTTTTCCCTGAGGGGCTCTCTACTAGGGGGAGATAGTCCCGGTTTTAAGGCTGAAATATCCCCTAAACTGAAATCTCATGTTCCTGTTGATATTCTTTTGCCTGAAGGTGGAATTACAAGGGTAATGGGTCTGGTTGATACTGGTAACTTGGTATCCCCTGGATTATGTTTCAGTGAAAAGTATGCCCAAGAGGTGGGTTTGAAGAAAGAAAAGCTGAGACCATTAAGCATTGGGACTGCAGCTACTGGCTCAACCATGGCCTTGGTTGGAGCTGTAAGGAATTTACGGTTGAAGATTGGGAAAGTAGAGGTTTTTCATCCAATAAGCTGGGTAATAAGAGACTTGACCAGCATTATGAATATTGGATATATGTTTCTGAGGACCCACAAATTATCAGTTATGTTGGATGGCAAGGAGCCAGTTTTACATCAAAGAGGAAATATTGAATTGGTGCAGACCTTGGCACCAGGGAAGTCAGGACTTTTTTTTAATGATTTTACTCCCACTAAGTTAAGTAAATTAAAATTGAAAACTGTAAATTCTAGAACTAAGAATGTTGCTAATATTGTAAAAAAAAAGTGTCTAACAAACTTTTTTTCTATTCAAAGGAAACAGTCCAGAGGAAGCTACAAAGGACAGTTGGCACTGAGCTGTCAACTGCAAGGTAAGATTACACCTGTAAAATTTGATGAGAATAAGATTTTATTGCCAAAAAGTATGACCAAATTGAGCATGGGGGTATACTAAAAGGTTGCAAATCTATTTTAGAACATGAGTTTTTGCTCAGATAATGAAGTGTTTGGTATGCCAGGAGTGTATCCTGTTAGAAACAGCAAGGACAAAATAATGGTAATGAATTTGAATGAGCAACCCAAACTAGTAAGGAGAATACTCCTGTGGAGGTAAATGTGCTCAAGGAGGGGTCATTGAGAACTGAGAAAACAGTTACTAACTTAAAGGACCAACCAAAAACAGATGTAAATGAATTATATGATAAATTGAAGATAGAAGAGAATGAGATGTTTAAAAAACATCCGAAGATAAAGAAGAAATTGAAATCCTTCATTTATAGATATAGACATATTTTTGCTACTCCTGAGCATGGAGTAGGCAGAACTGACATTTTGGAGGCTAGTATTAAGTTTAAGCTGAGTTTCAGAAGCAGGTTAATGAATGGTTAAAGCATAAGATTGTGAAACCAAGTAAATCTCCATGGAGTAATCATGTGGTTCCTGTTGCTAAGAAAAATGGAGAGACAAGATTTTGCTTAGATTTTAGGAAACTTAACCAGAGTATTATACAGGATAGTTACCCCTTACCAGGGATAGATGTCTTGATTGATAAATATGCAGGAATTAAAATATATTCTGCTTGGATGCAGTGCATGCTTACTTCACCATACCATTGGAAGCTGGAAGTAGAGAGTATACAGCATTCCCCACTAGTACTCAATTACTGGAGTTTTGTAGACTATCTTTTGGGATCAGTATGGCTGTCAGTATAAATTCAAGGTTCATACACCAAGTATTAAACCCTTTGTCAGGTAAGGGACTTAATGCATATTTGGATGAACTTTTGCTCTTCCATAACAAAATGGAAGATCATCTCAGTAAGTTAGAAGAGGTATTTCAAGCACATGAGACAGCTGGTATTAAGCTTAAGGCAGAGAAGTGTCAACTATTTAGATCTGAATTGGTTTACCTAGGCCATTATCTCACTGCTGATGGAGTAAAAATGGTGCCTAGTTACGTAGAAAGGATTTTGTCTTGGCCAACCCCAAAGACAAACAAGGATTTATCTAAATGGTTAGGCTTTGTGGGTTACTACAGATCTTTTATTAAAGATTTCAGTATGCTAACCCAAGAGATGTCCGCTCAGAAAAAGAAGAAGAGTTTGGAGTGGACCACCTTGATGGAAACTAAGTTTTAGAAGATAAAAGAAGCTTTTAAGGAATCACTTTTGAGAGCAACTCCGGATTTTAATAGCAAAGAAGAGTTTATTTTGACCACAAATTAGAGGAGCTTTGTCTGCCATTCTGTCCCAAGTACAGAAAGGGAAAGAAAGGTTAATTGCTGCTGGGAGACACAAAACTACAATCAGGGAGAAAAATTATCCCAGTTGGAAAGGTTAGTTAGCTGCAATAGTTTATGGTTGCAGGAAATATAATCATATAATAGGGCAGCTTTGAAACAATTGAATAACCTTTTACCTACAGGGGGTATCCTGAGTAGATGGTATGAAGAGCTGGCCAGTTTGCAGTTCAAGGTTGTTCATAAGAAAGGATCTGAGAATAGTAATCCTGATACACTAAGCAGATTAGACCATCTTCCTGAACCACAATTAGAGGAAGAAAGGGAGCAGGCTGAGTTCATTGGAGCAGTAGAAACTGAACTGACCAGAGCCAAGATTCTAGAGGCTCAAGCACTGGACGAAACCCTGAAATTTGTGAGGAAGTGGCTTTCTTCATGACAGGTACCTAGCAAGTATGATTTAATGGGTCAGTCTCTAGAAGTTCATAGGTTTAGACAATTGGTAGGAGCTTTGAAAGTTTCCAAAGATGGTGTATTGGTTTTGGAAGCAGAGGGATGCTCTGAAACCAGTGGTTTTCTACTACTGTCACCAGCACCTTAGTGCTGGTCATTATGGTCTAGCTGCTACCCGATCTCAATTGGTAAGGAATTTCTTCTACCCCGTGGACCTAGCTAACAGGATTAAGTTGTGCTCGCAGTGTATTGCTAAGACTACTAAAGAGCATGATAAGAAAGGAGAGCATAAATCATTAAGACATGGTTTCCCTTTGCAGTCAGTGGCAATTGATCTGGTAGGACCTTTTGAACCAGGGAACCATGATTACAAGTATATCCTTACTGTGTAGGATCAATGGAGCTGGTACATTAACTGTTATCCAATGCGAAGTAAAGAAACCAAAGAGGTGTCAAAGACCGTTATGGAAAGGTTTGTAGCTAACATTGGTTGTCCAGTATCTGTCCATAGTGATAATGGAACTGAGTTTACATCAGAGATTTTCAAGTCTTTGATGGATGAGTTAAAAATACAAAAAACTTATACCCCTTCCTACAACCCCAGGAGTAATGGGAAATTAGAGCGATGGCATAGAGATTTGAATGCTTTTATGAGAGCTGCTTCAGCAAGAGAGGATCCTACTTGGATTACATATCTACCTGCTCTAACTTTAGTCCATAATACAAAGGAGCACAGTGCAACTGGGGTTACACCTAGTTTAGCTTTCCTGGGAAGGGAACTGAGGCTTCCTGTAGATTTATTAGTGGGGTTACCGCACCAGGACCATAGATCAGTACATGAACATGTGAGGAACACTTTAGACAAGTATAAGGAAACCAGGGGATCAGTGTTGGTATTTATCACCAAGGAAGATACCAGGGAAGAGTTTGAAAATGACAAAACAATGGATTGGACCATTGGAAGTGGTTGAGTGGATAGCACCGGTTCTGGTTAAGGTTAGGAACCAGAGAATACCTGATAGGGTATGGGTGGTGCACACCTGGCACATCCGACCATACCATGGCATGGTTGATGGCCAAGCACCCAAGAAAGCTGATCTTGAGGATGAGGATGACCCAGAGGCTGAGGAGATAACCTCTGCTCCTGGATCAGGTCCGGTAGAGATAAACATTCCCATAAATGTACCTGTGGAAGTTCCAGTGATGGCTGACAAGGAGAGGATACCTTTGGAAAAGGATCCAGTAGAGGTTGCTGAATCAGCCAAGGTGAAGGATCAGGTAGAACCTGTAGTCAACCATGAAGCACGAGTTAGGGGGAAAATTAGAGGAAGATCACCGGAGGTTGAACCAAACAAAAGTAGAATAAAGAGGAGGCATGAGGACAGAAGAGGTCAAAGAAGACGGAGGCCACGGGCTGCAGATTTGTCCTCTGAACCTTCAAAGAAACCTAGCAAGTTTGGTAAATTGGTATATTCTTCTGCATCTTCAGAAAGTAACCAGGAAAGTAACAGGGGAAGTTCTGAGAGTGAGTTATCTAGTGAGGAGGTTTTAGCCCTGAAGGTATTATTGAAGCCAGGATCAGATTATCCTACTCAGGGAAGTGAAGGTGCAGCAGGCTATGATGTCATGGCGGCCCAGACGGTAGTGGTACCGGCACGCCAGATACGGGCGGTGGATCTTAACCTAGCCTGTCAGCTGCCTAGGCAGTATTTTATGCAGTTGTGCAGTAGATCCGGGTTAGCCAAGAGAGGAATAATAGTCATTGCTGGGATTATAAATAGTGAATACACAGGTAGTATTAAAACTTTAATATACAACACTACAGAGGAGGAATATAAGGTACAGAAGGGAGACAGAATTTGGCAAGCCTTAATACTTAAATATCCTTTTGGAGAGTTTGAAGAAAAGGAACTGGAACCTACTGGTAGGGGTACTGGTGGTTTTGGTTCTACCAGAAATTAATTCCTATTCTATTAATTATTATGACTGTCTGCAGACAAATCTAATTAAGAAATGTGAAAAAGCAACAATTTGTCAAAGAAATAAGCCAGAAGAAACTATTAAAGCCTTGAGTATAATATAGTGCAAAGGAAGAAGATAAATAAGTTGGAAGGTTATAGTTGTTCTGTGAAGTCCTCTACATTCCACTTCAAGTGTGGAGCATGGAGATAATGAATATCTATTTATCAACTCAGATCCAACATGAGAAGATACAGAAAAGGAACAAAAAGCTCAGAAATAAGATCAATGAAGAAGAAGAAATGCAGGAGTTAACATCAGGATTTGGTCATATGATTTAAATGTTTATTATTTTTACTTACTTTGAAAATTCAGTAAAAATAATGGGGGAATTGTAGGAAAATGGGATTATTATCATTTAAATAAATTTTCAGCTAGGTGTAATCTTTCTTAAGGTTGGCAGTTTTGATGTTAATTGTGCTTGTTGGTTTACTCTGATATTTATCTTTTAAATTCTTTATTATTATATAGATAGATTTCTTAAGTGCAGGTAAATTACTTTTGCTTTTACATTCTAAAAGCTTGAATGTTGAAATCTGAACCTAAAATGTGGAGTTTGTAAAAACAATTATCAATAATCTTTTGCTTTTGTATTTTTATAGGAATTGCAGGATGGAATAATAATAATATATGAATAATGGAATACAAGATGTGATTAATTGGATATTAAATAAATTTATTTTTTTGTGAATAAGGGTAGGAATAGAACTGACTTAAAGGGAAACTTGAACCCTAAAGGGGCATTCAGTTTACCCATTCCTTGTTATTATATTTTATTGAGAATAGAGGGATCTTATAGTAGTGTTATATTTGGTCCGAACACTACATCCCGTATTATATACTGAGAGAACAATGTTTGTTCAATTTTTACAATCATGGTGTTGTAATAGAATTGTTATAGGAATCTATACTTATTTTTGGTTGTACATCGCACTTTTCTTTGCAAAACAGAGGGGTGTAAATTACAGTAAATACAAAATGGGGTCGGTCATCAATATTTAGGGTACACCATAAACCTCTTATTCGAGTCAAATAAGCCTAGGTCCCTTAAGTATTTTTTTTAGAGAATTCTCCCAAGCATAGTAATGTTGTGCTTTAGATTTAAAATCTGACTGAAAAGTGGTATTTTCGTGAAAACTCTCAAAATGGGTATCTTAACACAATTAAGAGACCAAACTAGTACTTTGGCGGGCTGCTGCGCCGGCACCCCCACATCTTTTAATAATAGTTGTTAGAATCTATATATATCTTTTTAAATTATGCTGAATCCATTGTAATTTCTTGTAAAAAATCTGAAGTATATGTTTTCCCTTGAAATAGTTATCTGTAACAAAGAGGACATTGTATTTTATTGCAGGTTTACAGGATCCATTTAAGCATAAATATTTGAACGAGAAAAGTAATTGTAAATTAAAATCATTTTTAAATCAATGATACAAGTGATACAATTTGTGTAAATGAAAAGATTATCAGGATATATTCATTTTGTCTATTATCACCATGAAACACAACTCAAATGTATTGTTACAAAAACCAGTTACCCCCCTGACCCTCTATTAATACCCCCACCGTGGGGGGGAGAGTATTAATTATCTTTTATAAGGTGGTTACTATTTCATTATTGCCAAGCATATACATAGTATAGAATAGTGCAATTTACTCCTTTTTTATGACATTTTAGGACATTAAACCTTTTCCATTTTAATCCCTTAAGAAACTATTAAATAATCATAAAGTAACAGTGATAAAAGAACGCCTCAGGCAAAACATTTAAAAATCCATCCTGTAAAACTGATTTAAAGGTGCAAGAAGATTCCCACCTCTACCTAGTTGCACTTAAAATTTGTTCAGGGGGATGTCTTTTTTTCCACACCCCTCTGCGCTGGTATTTTAAATACTGCTTCAATATACTATATTGCTAAAACATACTTTTTCCCTCTCAGTCGCCCACTATTATAAAGAAAAAGGAGCACATGGTTTTTTATCATTTAAGCTGAATGTTTCTGGTTCAGCCATAATGTATTCAATTTTCAATTGTACAGAGAGAAAAGGGCACATAATACTAAGGAAAAACTAGCAAAATTTAAGAAATCAGGAAGGTAGGGGGGTAATGAACTACTGCAGCAGTCTTAAACCTGCCTTGAACCAGCCCTGAACCAGCCTTGAACCCGCCCTTAACCTGCCTCAAACCCGCCCTGAACCCGCACTGAACCCGCCTTGAATCTGCCCTGAACCCGACTAAGATATATAAATATGTTTGCTTTATCTGGCCAAACAGCTGTGGACCAAATTGGCTAAAATGTTTTTAAGAGGTCCCAGGAATATTGAGTTTAATATATTTTATTTACCTGTCATATTTTCCTTCGTCTGCCACGGAAAGCTGAAATTTTTTTCTTTTTATCATATTTTTAATAAAAAGTTTTACTTTTTTCATTTAAAATTTCTAGTAAACTAATTTAAAATGTTTTGGAGATTTATTTTTAAATGGTTTTTAAACTTTTAGATTTTGTAATTCTTGTAACTTATGGATTTTATATTTTAACACTAGTTTCCATTGCAATTAAATACCTTAATTTGAGTAAAATTTGTGCCAGCATCATAATCCGAACTGTTTCTAAAAAAAATGTTAATTAACCCTATCCCTGCTGGGGTACTTGAAAACCAGGATACGCTGGGGGGGGGGTCAATTTGACCCTCCCCCCTCTAAATCCCATGTTAGATGTCCAAATATGACAAATGATACATCATTAGAAAGCTCTTGTGCGCTACTTTTAGAATCTTCAACAAAATTTGCAAATTTGCGAAAATTGATTTTTTATATCAAAATCCAGTTTATAGTAAAAATGTTTGCAAAAAAAAAATTTTCCAAAAAATGACAAATTATAGATTTTTGAAAAGTCCTTGACCATGCCATTTCAAATATGCAAAAATTTTTGCAAAATTTAAATAACCTGATTTTTAATCAAGAAAAACTAAAAATGTGCAAATTTCCTTTGACAGGTTGTTTGCAAAAAATTTGCAATTTTTTTTTTCGGAAAACTTGTGCAATCCGTTTCCTTATGTCATAGGCTTTCCAAAAAGCTAAATTTTATCAAAATCTGACAAGTGAAAGTGGGTCAAAACAAAGATTTAGTTTGTTACAGGCAAAAACAGTCATTCAGGCAGTGTGCCTGAGGACTCAGGCAGTTAGTATTAAAGCCCGGTTTTAGTCCTAAAGGGAGGGCTTTGGGTATGTAAGAAAAGTCAGAAAATTTCAACAGCCTCAGACCAATACTTTTTGAGTTATGTAAAAAAACTACAGGGGGGGTCAAATTGACCCCCCCCCCAGCAGGAATAGGGTTAAGCCAGATTTTTGTCATTTGTAATGCTTGAACTAATTGGATATAATAATAAACATAACATAATAATTTATTGTAAGAAGACAAATTATTTTATGATATCTGATATGTTAATGAATTAATTCACAGCTCGTAATAGACATTTTTTTCAGAATCTTGTTTGATTTAAAATCAAATGCTCTATAAGATTGCATGCTTTTATTTCTTGTGCAAAATTTGTACTCCGACTCAACATGATTAAGATATAAAACCAAAACTAACAATTAAAGCGTTATCTCTTAGTTAAAACAAACCTCAAAAGAATACGATTTTGTATTATAATAGACATATCAGATCTGAGATATTGTATTTTCTAGACTAAAAATGTGCACGATTTCTCCGTCAATTTTTAAAGTACAATAAAATAATTTTAATACACACTAGAAGGTTCTCCTCAATAAAAAAGACTTTCTATGGCGACTTGAAACTCTTTGGATTTAATGATTTTATTAATAATCAAGTATTCTTACCTAGCAGCCAGGACTAGTTTAATTAGCAGATTTAATGGAACTCTCAGGGTCTTCTCATCTCTACAAAGGTATGGGAAACTTAATTTTTTTTTTTTCTGAAATCATTTTAAAAAAGGGATAAGAAAACTTTAGAATAATTAAATATTAAGAAAGGAACTAATTTTTGCCACAAACTCCAATTATCCAATTCCTATAACTCAAATTTTAATTATTTGGTTTAACAGAATTCATTATCTGAAAAATCAGAGGTATACGACATTGGGTTGCAAAGAAATCGGGATTAGAAAGTTTGTGGCAAAGAATCAATTCCTATGTTGAAACGTGTTAAAATATTTTTTTTCATTCGCAATATGATTTGCGAATGTTGTTCAACATTTATTCTCAAACGAAAAGTGATACAGTGGTAGGCCAATTAATCAATATAGTATAAACAAAAGTTTAGTGCAGATTTGCTTTCTAAACAAATAATTTCTAAAAAATAAAGAATATTTTCTTTTTAATTCACATCTTCCCTTTGTTTACATGCAAGATGGATAGAAAGCAAGGCTTCACTAGAATATCGTCGATATTAAATTGCTTGATAGGCCTAACACTGTATTAAAAAAATATTTTTGTGAAAAAATTGTGTTTTCTTCGTTACGATTATCATTAAGAATCGATTCCCATCCCTATCTCTAGATCCCCAGTCATCTCCTCCTCTATACCAACCTTCATCTTCTACCTCATCTCGTCTCATCTTTCTATCTGGAGAAAACTGAGAAATTCAAAATTCAAACTAATTCCTTCAAAAATGTTCGACCATCGACGTTGACATAAGTCTTAAAATAAATCTTCAAATTATGCTATCAATGTGCGTCTCTTCTCATTAGTCTTAATTTCATTGTTACAGAAAATTGAAAAAGGTACTTTCCTACCAATTTTACAATTAACTCTTTCCTTCTTATACTTTCAGAGAATAAAGCAAAACAATTATAATATTCGGCAAAGTAAAAACATTTTGAAATATTTCTGATTTAAAACTGAGTTTAAAACTTTTGAATGGATTGAATTATTTGAATTCATTCTCTTCTTACAATAAGATCAACTATGCGATCTGGCATTTGTTCAAAAAGTTTTGACTAAGGATGAGTTAAGGATCAGAAAGAACAGGTTTAACTGGTGAAAATATGGGCTTGGTTGGGATAGGATGGGTTCAGATGCACCGTGGAAAAGGAAAGGCTTGGTTGGTAAAAATATGAGTTTAGTTGGAGAATAGAAGGGATTAGCTGGGTAGAGGATTAGTTTGGTTGGTAAATCTATGAGTTTAGCTGGAGAATAGAAGGGTTTAGCTGGGTTAATGATTGGTTTGGCTGGTAAATTTATGAGTTTAGCTGCAAAATAGAAGGGTTTAGCTGGATAAAACACATGGGTTTAACAGAGAAATGTATATTGTATAGGTTTAGTAATTAGTAATTTCAATTTAACGTTTAATTTACTTTAATTTGTCTTGAACCATTGAGAGCTCTTTACGGTAAAAATTGAGCTATTCTTAATTGATCCTAAGAACAAAAATAAAATTTAAATGGACTGGAGAAGTAATTTCAATTCAATTTAATTTTTATGAAATACCTCGATTCAAACCGATTCCCAAGGATGAATAATATATCTTTTTTTTCTTGGTAAACATTTTTGATTTTAGCTCTGGTTTCTCCGTAAACTGGACTTGCGTATGGGAACGTTTAAATTTTACAATGAAGGAAGGAGTATTGTATTCTATTAAGAAGGTTTCGCAATCAACGGTATCATTAAGCTTGAAAACGAAAAGTCCCAGATCATTATCATTAAGATGATTTATTTTTCATACATCTCACCCAACTAACTTTTGCGAATGCTAACTTTAAATTTGTCTTAATTACTACATAACAAAATATTGTTGAGACATCTAGGTTTTAATAAGATTATTCTGGAAGAGATTTTCATTGAGAAAAATCCAATTATGCAAACAATCCTACGAAATTAATTCAATTGTAAAACAAATTACATTATTTGAAATTATAATAAACAAATCTTTGATTTGTACATTAGGAATTTTCGAGATTTTCATGATTGTTTAGAATATCAGATATTATTACACGTGTAATGGGAAAACAGGAAATATCAAACAGACAAGATCCAAATGGAAATAGACGAGTTATCTTAATAAAGACTTCGTTATATTTGTTATATGTTATATTTTAATAATAATTTGATTGATTTCATTTAATTTGATATTTTTTTACATTAAAATTGTAACCAGACAGCAGAGAGTTTTTTATTTTAAAATATCGTTAAAGGAATTGAGTTTTTGTCACAAATTCCAATTTAATAGTATCAAAATCTCAACAACCAAATGATGCATACCTTTCATATTACAAACTTACATTGTTTGATCCACCAGAATTCATAGTTTGAAATATCTACGGTCTACGATATTTGGTTTTAAAGAAATTGTGTGGCAAAGACTCAATTCCTTTTTTTATTTATAACTGATTTCATTTTCAACGGATTTTTCTTGGCTTTTTTTGTAATAGCTTAAAGTTAGAACAAATATAAAAACATATTCTTAGCCCTATTACGGTGGGCTATTTTTGTCTAATATTGTTTTGCCCTAAAATTAGAATTATCTACGTGTGTAACGTAGACTAAATACTATTCAAACGTTTTCTGGTTACCACTTTACCTTTCTCGTTTACTTCAAGTTGAGCCAAAGCATGCATGAAAAAAGAAACTTTTTTCGAGGAAACTGAAAATGATAAAGGTATTTGCAAAGTTTACAGATAAAGAACAGACCACAGATTGTGCAAAATCATGTCAAAGTTTTCATTTACAGTTTTATACAGTCTGTATTTTTACATAAAATCCCATCAAAATCAGATAAAAACCGGTCCTAATTCAGTGATAACCAGAAAACTTTGAAATAGGAAGACGACTTTTAAACTCAAGTTAGGACTTAAACTAGTTCAATGAACATTAGACATAGCAATTGAGCAATGTAAATATTCCCATTTCATTTAAATAGTGCTTTGCTAAGTTACTAGTAAAAATATTTGCTTTGCAAAAACATCAAAACGCTTAGGTTTTTCTATAATGTCGTCTTTTATTTCATAATTTTCTGCTTATCACTATACTTCAGTTGTTGTTTCATTATTTCGCTTAACAGTGAAAAAAAAAAAATATTTTAATTTGATGATTTACTTTCTAAAAGAAATTCAGATGTAATAAATTATTCAGGAAAAACTCGATAAACGGCTTTTCCCTATGGTAGATATTGAAAAACCTTTGAAAAATAATCAAATTAGTTTTTTTAAATATGTTTTACGTCAGCCACCCCCCCCCCTTCCCAATTTTTTCTTGATTAAAGTTTCAAACCAATAATTGGTCGGCTTTTCACAATGCAAAATCTTAAACCCCTTTAGTTGATGATTTAAAGGGACTATACATTTAATTTCAAGCTATCCTCCATTTTTAGAGTAGCGTGTCCGATTTTTTAAGACCGCATTGGTCATTGAATATTGGGTATTTTCTGGGAACGCAAGGTAATAAGGCAAAGAAAGTTAATTCCTGTTGCGTATTCTTTGCGTACATATTAAAACCATTTCTCTCTGGGTGATGTTTGTAAACAAGAATAGATGCATCACTGTTCTTCTAGTAACCGAGGAGGATAAAAGAATGGATATATAATAGAATGGATAGTCAAGGTTGGATGTAGTTTTTTTGCTGGGGTGTTATGCAGTACGTGAGATATTGAACCCTGGCCTTACAGTTTGTCTTTGGTTTTCGTAAAGTTAATAGATGTTAAAGAAGATTAGAAAAACATTGAGAGTCTTTAAAACTTGGTGAAATTTAGCCTCTTTCTACTAATACTTCAAATTTTTAAACAAATTTCTAAATATCTCGGCCAATTCTTAAGGTAATAAAACGGCAGACCACATTTTCGAATTCTGAAAACAAGGCGTTGTTAATGCTACCAAATCTTTGGAGGAAATGCTATGTTCACAAGATTTCAGCTAGAGTATCTCATTTCTGCTTACTCCAGGACCCATCACGGTTTACCAAAGTTCTTTCCCAATTTGGACCCTGAGCTTCTCTTCAAACTTTTATAAAAGTACAAATTATTTTTATAGAATCTATGATAGCCAGAATGGAAATTTTTTAGAGTAAAACCTAAAGTACACTTTGCAGAGGTTTTAAAATTTCCTAAAAAAATCTAGGGTCCACTCAGATATAACAGCTGTGAACAATTGTCTCTTTTTAAATTGAATTTGCTTGACACTATTTGAGCCAACTTTGATGGGAGAGTTTAAGGATTTTTAAAAAGTTTTTTAATTTATTCTTTAGTCTGAGCTGCTTAGAATGAAGGTAAAATGCATGTTCGTTGTCCAATTTTCGAAGCAAACTTTTTTTGAAAACGTTTGGACTTCTTCAAGTTTATTTGTAAGTATATGCTAGAGCAGTATGTCGGAACATGATCATCCAATAAAAGAGTTAATAAAAGAGTATATTCATACTATTGGGAAAGTTAAGTGAAAATAATTAAATATCGGTAAAAGGTAAGTTTTGCTGGTTTATTTTTTTCTTCTCTAAACTCCACTCTACTATAACTAAAAAGCAGTAGTTTAACAATTCTTACCAATATTTATTAATTTCCTGCAATCTGGTCACCCCGGACTAACCAGAGTGAGCAGCATTCGGTTTCTTCTATTTGAAATAAAGCGTGTTTTGGTCTCTAATTCATCAATCTTTTACATTACGGATTTGTTTATTCTATATTTTATCCTTCAAAATACATGTGCCACCAAAAAGTATTTCGGAAGAAAGTCTAAAAAATTGTGTTTAATGGGTCAAATTGTTATCGAAAGTCGCAGCTTTCTGGAATATTGACAGAACCGTAAAATCCACGTGTGGAACATCTCACAATACGGAGTGTCCCCAAAAATATGAGATGTCTTTAAAGATCATCCTTGGTCTTTTTGAAGCTATCTCATGACAAATTGTGCAGCCTTGCACAGGCTTATTTTCTAAATATTTGTATCACTCTGATCTAAGAGAAAATATATGGAAGGATGAATTGGTAGTATCTCCAATCCATCAAGAGATGCTGAGTATTCAGTTTTATTAGATAATCTATTCATATCATGTTTAGGTCTGTATAGGAGGGACACGCACATTTATATAATTTGATCTATAGATTGACAAAATACAACAGAAGCTGAGCTGAGGGGATAATTTAATGTTTTATGTTTTCCTTAAAAGGGCAGAGCATCTTTAAGGAACGATCAGTCTTTCATGGAACGCATGGTAATTGCCGTTGACTTCAAAAAACTATCGAACGGATAAAAACGCAATTCCAAAAATTTTGAAAAAATCATAAATTAACGACCGAAACAGTAATTGGTTGAAAAACGTCCCTGAATCGATATCGATATCAGGAACACGTTCTAAAATATGCGGATGTCATGAAATTATAAGTTTAAATCATAAGGTTGAGCGGGGAATGGGCACATTTTGCGTAAAAACATATTTTCAAGGGGCCACGCCATCATTAGGAGCAATTTAAATCTTTCATATTTTCGTAAAATTTTTAAAGCTGTTTATTTAAAAAACTTTTTCTCTGAAAAAGTGACTTGAGCATTTCTTGCTCAAGAAACAATGGAAGAATTATCAGAATTAAACACTTTCCATGCTAGAAGAAACAGGAACTTTATCCTCAGCATAATTGATC